GCCCCATAAGAAAAATTTCGTGTTTACAAGCGGCGGAAAATTTCCCGTGTTGACATTGAGTTATATCAACACGGCTCTTAGCCAATCAGCGTTCAGAATTTACAAACGCTATATTATAAATTAATATATCATATGCTGAACATTGGCAGGTACGAAAATTACGAAAATTATGTCATTTACGCATTTGTAGTTTGATAAAACAAAATATCTATGCTTCCACAAAAATTGGACTATCATCCTGATATCAAATGACATCATGTCAAATTATGTCATTTACGCATTTGTAGTTTGATAAAACAAAATATCTATGCTTCCACAAAAATTGGACTATCATCCTGATATCAAATGACATCATGTCAAATGACGTCATCACGTTTTGCGTCATCGATGACGTCATAAAATTTTGACTAACGTGCGAAGAATCCTAGATCCGCCCCTGCTTTAAAGGATGAGCTGTGGAGTTTTAAAGACAATAAATGATGCATGGACTCTTGAGCTGCATAGTCTCTTTCACCAAGAGATTTCATAAATACCTTCTTAATAACTCTACGTGGGTCAGTATTACTGTCAACATTTTGCACAATAGAATTGAATGCCTGTTTCAATATAGGTGATCTTGGCTCACCTTTAGCGGCATATTTGTGAGATATTCAACACAAGCATAGTGATCAATAACAACTTGAATATCACAGTTAGCTCTCCATCCTTGGAGCTGTAGCTGTTGGTGGTTATTTAACCTAGAGTCATTTCGTTTAGTCACATGTGATCTTAGCTCGATAATGCTCATTATCAACTGAACTATGAATTTTTTTCAAATTCTAATTATGTCTTAAGACAAATATCAAAAGGGAAATGAAATCTACATTTCAACTCTGTTTCATTTGACTTCTTTCTAAGACAATAACTTGTACTACAACGAGTGTGTCGTTGAACCATGTTCAAAAGATCTACATAATCTGATTGTTTTCCATGTTCAGGAATGTCATGATGACTTCTTTGACATGGATGAACCTCAGGTTTTATCCACATGTCCTCGTCTGGTGGATTAGGATTATTGACGGTTGATAATAACCAATCAACATACTGACATACTGTGTCAGCTGCTTTCTGACCAGCTTTAATATTCTGGTCTAGTTCAGTTGTGACAGAACAATCATTTTCATCCTTAAATTTTTGAGCTAAGAAACCTTTCAAAGCAGTCTGAGTAAGTTGACACAAACATGGGTCATTATTTAGTTTAGCAGTACCATGACAATGGATACTACCTCTACCTTGATATTCATATCTAACCCAGTGCCATTTTGCACCAAGTGTATCGTAAAGCCAGTGTTTAACAAACTTTTCTAGTCTCTGTGTAAGAACCAATCAACTATATGTGGATTGTTAATAACATTTTGTCTCCTTGCCTCACTAGTGGCATTACCAGTGTTTGCTCCAAAGCAAGGGCGCCGGAAGCAACATGGAGCGGCGTGGGCAGCCATTTAAAAAGGGCACTTACTCTTGAGCCTTAATTTATTTTTTTCGTGGGGGGGGGGGGCAATGTTCGTTAACCTTTTGCTGTATAACGGACACTTCATTACTTGTAGCTAATACAGTTAGACAAATTTCGGCATGGATTGGAACATTTTTATTTGTTGCATGACACTAAAATGTATTGTAAAGCAACATGATAGTTGTCAGTTATTTAGGAAGGCTTTCTTTTTCCCTTTTTTCATAGGTGGAAACTGATTGGTAATGTTTCTGAGAGGAATTCAGAATCAAAAATGAGCTAAATTGTTTAAAAACAGTTTTCAATTTCAATTCATGTGAAAAACGCACGACGTTCGAAGTGCAGTTCTTGTAAAAAAGGCAACCTGCTGCCCCGTGCTGCCCCCGCACTGTTTAGGCAACGGGGGCAGCTGCCCCCGCTGCCCCTGTGGCTCCGGCGCCCCTGCTCCAAAGAGAGCATGTAATTCAGGCCAGTGTATATCTGCTGATGAGAAAGTAAAGAACAATGTTGGTGCTCCAACATTAGTTATTATAGCTTTCAGTTCCTCTCTTACTTTATTCCAGTAAGCATTAGTACCTGCAATATTGCCAATGTATCTCGACACTTTGGACATCAATAAAGCAGATTGTCACTCGCAGCCATTTCACGCAGCTCATCAATTGTGAGGTGTGCTTCACCTAGATTTTGCTTAATGAATATTCCACTTTGTTGTAGAATGCGCTTTCTGTGAATCATATCAAATGCCCAGTATGAAAATCTAGGGTGGTTAGCAAAACGGTATACCCATTTACCATCAACAAATTCAGCAAATTTCAAAAGATGCTTAATTCTTTCTTGAAGAGAAACATTCCTCAAGATACTTTGATTAGTGGGATCACCTTTCCCATCAGGAAATAATGTTGGAAAAGCCATAGTGGCCAGATGTGATATCTGATATTCATTCAAAGGTTCACTTTCAATAGTGGGCCATGGCATTGGTTCATTTGCAGAAAGCTGATTTCTAACTACCAACAGGCAAAAAACTATTCATGTCTGTTGAGTTGTCATAAACTATATCTTCAGAAGGGTTTTCAGTGGGTGGACCTAAATCTGACATAGCATCATCATTTGAGATTATTTCATTTTCAGTCTCAACAGTCATGAGATCTGCTGGAATGCCATTTTCAAGTAAAGAGTTTAGTGCATCTTTATTAATTTATAATTCAGCATAATGATTTTGCACAAACCATAATAATGCATTATGTACTTTTTCTCTTCTCACAGATACATCTCTAAATGAGTTATCTTTACTCTTGACTTTGACAATGATCACAGACAAATCTTTGGGATATCTTGGCAATGATGTTGCAAGTTCCTTAACATTTTGTGGCAAATTAACACAATGACCTGAGTAACCTCGTTGTCCACCAAGTTTAATGTAAACTCTCATGATAGGAAGAGCACGAGCAATCAACATTTCCTCTACTTGAGTTAAATTTTGTAACTCGGTTGGCACTGGAGAAGGAATCATTGAATTTTCAAGTGAAAACTTTCTAGGAGATTTTGTGTCTCGAGCACATCGAGAACATATATAACAATCAAGTGACCTTGGTTTAGAGTTCAGTGGCCATGCATCTTGACATATAGTGCACTGATTAATAAAGAATTCAATAGATTTAGAAAATTTATTAATTTTATTTTTGCCCAACTCTGTTCATGAATATTACCATCTTTTTCAATGTCAAATTTGTTTAAATAATCCTGCTGATTTATAATTTGAGTAGAAGCACACAAACGTTTTCTCTTGTTTTGATTAGCACTTTGGTGATTTATAACATCTCCTAGTGTAGTTTGTTTCTCATGTTCAGTTTCTGAAGCTTGTTTTGCTTTTCGATACTCCCTAGCATTTTCAAGTCTAGTTTGTTTCTGAGTTTCGGTTTCTGCTGCTTGCTTTGCTTTTTTATAATTTCTAGCATTTTGCCGTCTGCTTTGTTTCTCATGTTCAGTTTCTAAAGCTCGTTTTGCTTTTCGATACACCTTAGCATTTCCTAGTCTAGTTTGTTTCTCAATTTCAGTTTCTGCTGCTCGCTTTGCGTTTTTACACTTTCTAGCATTTTGCAGTCTGCTTTATTTCTCATGTTCAGTTTCTGCTGAAAACTTTTGTTTTACATGCTCTTTTGCACTTTTGCTCGAAGCAAGTCCACTTATTTGTGTTATATCAGAATTTAACTGAAGCGTTACCCCTTTAACTTCAAAGGGTGTTTCATTAGCCGGAGGTACAGTACTTTGGAAATATACCACCAGGCTTTCTACACTATCAACAGATGCTAATATGCATTTTCCAAAAGGGTGTGGAATCCCATATAAATCTCTTATGAGAATGAGAATCAAATACTTTAAAGGTTCCTTCAGAAGTCTTAAAAATTGCAACAGTATTACAACCAATCGTCAACATACAATGTTGATAATTTAAATGAGCTTCTGTGAACGGATTATTAAGAGCACCCTCTATAGAATAATAAGGTAGAGTGGTGTTTTCCATGAATAAGTCACCAGCACACGGCTCACCATATTGCATACAATAAATGCCATCAAAAACCGAAACCATTTCCGGCACATCAGTCAAAAGCAAATAGCTTTTATTAACAGAATTGCTTATAAAAGAATAAAGATTATTTCCAGCACACAATATGGAATTTAATACAGTTGAATCCCATGCATTTGCATTTGTGATATGACTATATATTATCGCAGTCAAAGACATTGCTAAACATTGTTTACCAGCATTTTGACGAAACTTTTTTGTATTTCCCTGGCTAAAATCAGCACATATTGTTTTAGTTGGATCAACCACATCATATACTGTGGGTCCAGGATTTTCCTCTACATCATTTGCCATTCTCAACAACAATGTTTTAATCAAAATGGTCTGCTTATTTGTAGCATTGGCACAATGCCAATGGCTTGCTTGTTTGATTGTGTGACAGTACCACAATGGCTTGCCAATTTTGTTTGTAGCAGTGGCACAATGGCTTGCTGATTTAATTGTGTGGCAGTGGCACAATGGCTTGCCGATTTTGATTGTAGCAGTGGCACAATGGCTTGCTGATTTATTTGTGTGGCAGTGGCACAATGGCTTGCCGATTTTGTTTGTAGCAGTGGCACAATGGCTTGCTTATTTGATTGTGTGGCAGTGGCACAATGGCTTGCCGATTTTGATTGTAGCAGTGGCATTATTTGTTTTATATATAAAGATTAAAGAGTTGTACGGCAGCACCTAAAAAATACATAATAAAATTTATATACAGTCGATTCATTCATTCGTTTCATTGCCATTGGGTAAAATCACACGACCAAAACACATTGTTATTTGTGATCAAACAAATCTTAATAATTTCGATATACAGTAAAACAGCCAGTGAGCCAGACGTAAGAAAATATTTCGATAAACAGCCTGACAAAACTTGCAGCAAGCTGGAATCAAAATTTACAACAGGCACGAGGCTTAGGGCAACGTGTTATTTACAAATTGCAATATTCCATGGTGGTGTTCGCGAGTCTCAACCAGCGTATTCGGAAAGTCAAATCGCGATCTGGAGTATATTTTTTAAAATTTCTGTGACGTCAAAAAACGTCATAAATCTGAAAATCCGTACATCCGTCAACAAAATCGAGTTGTCGTTCGGCTATACATAACTCGGCCAAAGAGACTGGACACACGTAAACGCAATACTTCATGTTAAGAATAGTGTGCAAGGGGTATGACTTCGAATTTGTACCAACTCCTTTGAGTTCTGGTGGAGTGGGAATGTATATTGATAAGTCATTAAGTTATGAAGTAATAGAAAAAAGTTCTAATGAAGCGTTTCAAGCATTATGGATAGAAATATCTTTTGTTCAAAAGAAAAATATTATTGTTGGAGTAATCTATAGACAGCATAATTCTCCGCATAAATTTAAAAAATATTTTGATGAGGTTATTGAAAAGTTTACAGCGACTGGAAAATCGTTATGTATTATGGGAGATTTTAATCTGGATTTATTAAAAATTGAAAGCTCTTGTTATAGCCGAGATTCCTTTTTATCTTTGCAAAGTCGTTACCTAATTCCCTCTATTGATAAGCCTACTCGGGTTTATAATAATTCTGCAACATTGATAGATAATATTTTCATAAATATGCCGGAACGAGTAACAATTAGTGGGAATATAATTTCTGATATAACTGATCATTTCTCTCAATTCTGTATTTTTAAATCAACTAAGGATAAAATAGAAATACCAATAAAGCAACAACGACGTGATTTTTCACAATTTTCTGCTGTTAATTTTAACAATGAATTGTCTCTCACAGATTGGGATGAAATATTCCTAAAAGGGGATAGGGATATTGATAAAATATTTTGCTTTATTTATAAAAGAATTAATGCGATACTGAATAAACACGCACCAATCAAACTGATATCGCGTCGTCAAGCTAAACGCCTCTCGAAACCTTGGATTACTAAAGGAATAAGAACAGCTATTAAACACAACTAGGGATCCAAGGATAGTGCAGAGTTTCAAAGACAAACGCTATAAGGCATGCTTATTAATTGAATAGCTTTTCAAGTGTGGTTTATAGCCTTAATCACATGTCGTAATAGCGCGGGGAACTGTTACAACAGTAAAAATGCTAAGATCTGGTTTAAATATAATACTTTACGGTTGAAGAATAACGAGAGTTATGTAATATTATTTATTTCCCCATATAATATTATAGTGACAAGGCATAATTTCTGTTATGTTGTAAAGTTTGAAATTGAAAGACACTGCAAGGATTATATAGGATCGCCGACAACCTAGAAAAGCTGATGGGTTACACTACGAAATAAACAATTATCATAGGCATTTCATCTCATTATCTATTGTTTTTAATGCGTTCGGCACACGAGTAACCCGACGTTTAAAACAAGCCTAACACATCAGAAACGTCGTGCTTCGTGGAACTGACACAATTTATTGGAGCTGTCGCCAAGTATCCCCACAAGGCTACTGATGCGCTAAACTTATTTCAAAAACTCATTAATAATTCAGGAGCAAAACACAAAGAAAAATCATAAGCGTGTCGTGGTTTTATATGTGATAAAAAATCATGTTAATTTACATAAACTGTAGCTTTGATTTTCTCGGTTTAGACAAAGTTTATTTTAAAAATTACTTCGCCAATGAACTCGTATAAGATGAGTCGTTTTTTAAGCTATTTAAAGCACTTGTAGTCGTGTTTTATCACATATAAAACACTCCGCTACGCGTCGTGTTTTATATGTGATAAAACACTCCTACGCGTGCTTTAAATAGTACTTAAATCTATGATTATTGCCAATGCCATCATCGTTTTAGCGCCCATATTGTACATTTGACTATTGTCCCAGTCACAACTTTAATTGAAATAGCTTTATAAGATATGTTATGAATAATTAATAAGCACTACGACGTTGTGTTCCATGACAAAAAAAAACATAAATCTAAAACACGGAAACGTAAAAAAAGAGGATTTATCCAAGTCCGTTCCGTTCCGCATTTTATCTCCATATCCGTTCCGTGGATCCGCTCCGTTTCGCATCCGCTTCCGCATTCTAACCTAGTTGTGACGTGTCACAATAACAAGCTCACTGACCTTTGAGTTATTTGAAGGTCACGTTGTGTTCATGATTCATTTTCAGCTTTTCGCATGTAATCAATATTTCAATGGTTTCACAGTTATAGCAGTGTTTATAGCAGTTTTGACAAGCTTTGATACAGATAGATTCTCGTAAGATCTGGTAGAGTTCTCGTTGCACTGAAGTCTGAACACGAGTTTGCACCGTTGACGTTGTGCTAGACACGTAAACCAAGATTTTCTCAATATTTATGTTTGAAATGTTTATACATTTGAAAGCAACACTGTCTCGCTGCTTCCTAGCTCTGTACAATGAATATACCGTCAAACTAATATCGGCACTTGAATGCATTACGTGCATAACATCAATTTACATATTGCGTAGTATCTCAAAGAAAATCTCAATATAATACACGTCTGAAATGTTTATACATTTCGAAACAACACTTGTCTCGCTGCTTCGCCTAGCTCTGTACAATGAATATACCGTCAAACTAAGTAATATCGGTACTTAATTGAATGCCCGTAATGCAAAACATCGATTTTATATATTGCGTAGTATCTCAAAGATTTTCTCAATATAATTTAGACGTCTGAAATGTTTATACATTTGAAAACAACACTGTCTCGCTGCTTCCTAGCTCTGTACAATAAATATACCCTCCAAATAATATCGGCACTTGAATGCCCGTAAATCGTAATGCATAAGTACATAACATCAATTTATATATTGCGTAGTATCTCAAAGATTTTCTCAATATAATACTGACACGTCTGAAATGTTTATAATTATACATTTGAAAACAACACTGTCTCGCTGCTTCCCATCTCTGTACAATGAATATATACCGTCAAACTAATATCGACACTTGAATGCCCGTAATGTATAACATCAATTTATATATTGCGTTGCGTTGTATCTCAAAGATTTTCGCAATATAATATACGTCTGAAATGTTTATATATACATTTGAAAACAACACTGTCTCGCTGCTTCCTAGCTCTGCACAATGAATATACCCTCAAAATAATATCGATCTTTAATTGAATGTCCGTAATGCATAACATCGATTTATATATTGCGTAGATTCTCAAAGATTTACTCAATATTCACATCTAAAATGTTTATAATTTGAAAACAACACTGTGTCGCTCCAGCGCTCCTTCCTAGCATCATCACGCCATCGTTATATACGGCTTGATAGCGCATGCGCATTTGTGGTGCTAAAGAAAAAAATGGGTTTTCCGGGGGAAAGATCCTTCACACAACGTGAGAAGCGAATGTTATAAAATTTACAAAAATTTACAATAACGACAACGATTCCTCGAAATTTTTGTGAACTTGGCAAAAGAACAAAAAATATGTAAATAAAACAACTGAAATTGCCTAAATAACCTTCAAAGCACAATAAATCACTACAAACATAAATCGTATACATATAATACACCCCCCGGAAAGTTAACTCTATGACTGATTGACTGACTGACTGATGTGAATTTTCCCAGTCATCACAATAGTGCACAGTTTCAAAGAAACTCTGCACTAAAAATCAACTATATGCTGACGGAAAACAGTCTGAGTATAAAATATACAGAAATCGAATACAAAGATTAATGCTATTATTGTGAATATTTTAACAAACATTTGACGAATATGAAAAAAACATGGGAAGGAATTAATACTATTATGAATCGTAAAACTCAGAAATCATCCTGCATTCAAGCTATCAAAGACCATAATAATGGTAATAGACTTATAAGAAACGTAACCCATATCCCAGATATATTAAATAATCATTTTGCATCAGTTGGACATAAATTGGCTAACCAGTTACTAGACCCGCGAAAGCACTATTCCGACTTTCTTATAAAATCTCAACCTCGTCCCCAGGGTCTTCTTCGTGCATGGCGCGTCCGGAGGGGGAGGGGAGAAAAAATTGTTTCTGATAATAGTAAATGTATTAGGACATCCAAAGGGGGTTAACTTCCTATTTCCTCTGGGGGGGTGGTATGGATGTTTTCTGGAATGACCCATTCTCAGTCATTTCAAAAAGTAAGCCTTGGAGCTTTTTTGAAATCGATTTCATTCATGCTTCAACAACCACTCTCCCGCATGTACATCATTGCAAAATGTGCAGCCAGCCTGCAATGTCCAAACCACAGTTGTCCACAACATTTGTTCTCATTGAGCTGTCGATTTCAAGATGAGGAAGTGTAGTGTGGAGACATTCAAACAATTTTGATTTGGCTGCATTTATTTGGACACTTGCTTTATTATACATCCCTCACCGATTCAATAGTTGCTAATGTAAATTTGTACTAGCTCTGCAGGACAGATGTGTTCAATTTTTCCTATATGGTATGGAATAAAGATCATGCTGTTAGTGTTACATGCATGCAAATGGCAACTCACAATGATGTAAAGGCTAATGAAATTCAATTATGGATTGTCCATAACTACCAACATTTTCTGAAGTGTACAAACTATACGTTTCAGGTAAGCGGGTTCATAACCAATATACACTTTCTAAAATGTTGAACTATAGACCCACCATCATCGGTTAAGTCGCTGTGGGAGGGGGTTGAAAAATGTACTCTCTGTACACCTATGATAATTATGGATGATTTACAGTGTAATACTAATGCTAGACTTAACTGAAAATAATTTTATAGTTTAATATATTGAATATATTTTAAATGTTCCATTTGTGGAAGTCGGTGGCATCCCTTTTTGTGGAAAATTCAAGTAGCTGTGCTCCAGCAGCTAGCTGCAGTGGCACAAATTATTGACATAACCAAAATTTTAATATTGCATGGGATCTTAGATTCGTTTTTATTATTTCCTGGTGTCCTATGAGCCCAGCAAGAACTGCTTATTTTATTATTATAATTTTTAAACATGCAACAATTAAGCCATACAAACAGCAATCGTTCTGTGTGTCTATTTCTGCTATAAAAATGCATATTCATCTGAGACTGATATTAAACTGTCACTTGAAGCAGACAAGAGGTTTTCGCACTAGTTAAACAAGTGGTAGTATTTGAGAGGAACTAAAACGTCACAAACGCAAATGGTTCTGTGGTTTGTTTGATCATACAGTGTGTGTATATATATATATCATACCTTCGATAACGATGTGAACATTAGCTGTCTCAACTTTGAAGTACCAAAATGATGTCTATATTCACACTACGATGTCCATTATATATTGTGCCTGACATTAGGCTGAAAGTTGTAAAATATTTGCCAGAAACGAGCTTAATCGCGCCTTGGCGAAGCATGCATTTTACTAAAAACAAATTATTGTTGTGAAAATCCTTATAAATCATGCAACCAATCGTAGGCCTCATTACAAGAAGTATTTAGCGGTAAACCAATCATATTCATTATAACAACATCCTCAAAGCACATGTCAAGGTCAAATGTATAAACCAATCACAACGGAGTTTAGAACAGCCTTTACCAGGGTCTTCTCATTTTTCACGCGCCATGCACGAAGAAGACCCTGGGGACGAGGTTAATAAAATCTAAATCTCCGCGAGATTCGTTTTGTTTTAATCTAATTACTCCTGTTGAAGTGAAACTTGAGATTTTAGCACTTCCAATCAACACAGCACATGGTTTATATTCTTGTCCCTCTCAGATATTGAAATGTGCCAGCGATATTATTAGTTACGTATTGTGTAGATTATTTAATTTATCAATTGAGTTAGGAGTATATCCATCCAAATTAAAAATGTCAAAAATCATTCCAATATTTAAAAATGATGACAGGACTGATGCTAATAATTACCGGCCGATATCGCTATTATCTAATTTTAATAGACTTTTTGAAAAGATGACGTATAAAAGGATGCAGAGCTTTATTAAAAAAACATGCTATCCTTTCTTGTCGGTATGGTTTTCGAGAATTGCATTCAACTGAACATGCAATTCTTGATATTGTTAATACCATTCAGTCAAATATGGCTAAGAAATTATTTTCGTGCGGAGTATTTATTGATTTAAAAAAAGCTTTTGACACCGTTGATCATGAAATTCTTTTACAAAAATTATGTTATTACGGATTTAGAGGAATAATTAATGATTGGTTTAGTTCATATTTAAATGGTAGAACGCAAACTACACAAATTGGTAATCACATATCCAAAAAGGCTACAATAACGTGTGGCGTGCCTCAAGGATCGGTTTTGGGTCCATTACTTTTCTTGCTTTATATTAATGATATTGAAAATTGCTCTAAGAAATTTAAAATTTATCTATTTGCTGATGATACAAATCTACCCTATTCCGAAAAAGACCTTAAATCTCTTTAAAAAATTGTTAATGAAGAACTTTGCCATTTATATGACTGGCTTCGTTCAAATAAACTTGGTCTTAATTTAAAAAAGTCTAATTTTGTTATTTTTCATCCATATCAAAAGAAATTAGTATATCAGCCTATTATCAAAATGTATAATAACGAATTGAATGGATATACAGAGCTTAATTGTGAAGATTATATTAAATATCTAGGGGTTTTAATGGACAAGAATATCTCATGGAAATATCATGTAGAACATGTTCTAAGTAAAATAAGTAAAACTGTAGGCATGATTTCAAAATTAAGGCACTTTGTACCTAAACATACTTTACTTAATATTTATAAATCGCTAAGAGGTCCATATCTCTCCTATTGTCTTGTTATCTGGGGTCAGACAAGCAAATCAAATTGGAGTAATATCTTAGTTTTGCAAAAACGTGTTCTTCGCTTCATCCATTTTTCAGATAAACGAGAACACGCAATACCTTTTTTTGTTGCTACAAATATTTTACCAGTAAATATCTCATTCTATGAAAATGTACTTACATTGATGCATGATGTTAAAAATAGAGTTGCACCAGTCAATATTCTCAATCTTTTCCAGAAAACGTCAGATATTCATTCTTATACTACTCATTCTTCAAAGTCAAATAATTTTTACATTAAACAATCGAAACTAGAAATTCAACGAAAGTCTTTTTCTCATGTTGGAGTAAAATGGTGGAATGAGGTACCATCTTGCATAAGAGAATTGCCAAAAAGAGCATTTAAGAAAAGGATACGTAGTATCCTTTTGGACATTTTACAGAATGAAAACACTTATCCGGACATAGAGTTGCTCAGCTGTAAAATTAATTAAGAAAAGATCACGCAATGAAGCCTCAAATTGAAGCGTTAACTCCTACTTTTTTCCCTGTTCTTGATATACAGTACGTATATTATTATTATTTTTTTTCCTTTCTAAAAACGTTAAGTTTATTAATAGGTAATTTCATTGAAAATTATTTCATATTATGTATATATAATTTGCTATATAATCAATGGTTTTGTAAATTAATATTTATTTACTTTTTGTGTGTCACTATAGACAAGTCCGCCTCGACTAGCTTTGTAGCTATTAGCGGCTTGTCTTATTAATGTATGTACGTATACTATATTATATGAATAAATTGAATTGAAAAAAATTGAATTGAGTGTACATTGACAGATGTTTGTGATATAATAGTAACTGACTAGGTTTAGCAAGTTATAGAAATGATGTTATTTAAATTGGCTAACTTTTTAGATTTTTTCAGCATTTTTACCTTCCACTTTATTGCCAAACAAAAATCATTTAATTTAAGTAAGTGTGTATCTATAAGAAAACAATATCTGTCATATGCGCTTGTGCAACTCCCTCAAAATAGCTGTATTGTTTTTTTATTGTGGCATAAATTTATTACTAGAACACCAATATGGTTCTCATTACCTATATCTAAACTTAAAAAAACCATGTGCTTATAAATAAATGCATCTACCTATTTCGTGACTGAATGGAATTTATTTTGTGAAGCCATGTAATTAATTTTGAAATTGCTGTGACTTTGTGTAACCCTTCTGCAGGAATTGAACCTAAACCCTAAAGCACCAACCCATCCCAACAACAAAATTACATCCTACTGTCAATGGGTCATTCCAGAAAACATCCATACCACACCCACAGAGGAAATAGGAAGTTAACCTCCCTACCCCCTTCGGATGTCCTAATACATATACTATTATCTGAATCAGAAACAATTTTTTCTCCCCTCCCCCTCCGGACGGCAGAAATTTCCTGCGTGGGGGGAGTATGGATCTTTTCTGGAATGACACAATTTCAATTTGTCTTTGAAATCTGACCACCAATGTTTTGACCACCAATCAAAACATGGGTCTCTAGTTACTTGTTTCTATATACACCTGTTGACTCTGGATTGTCCATGAAAATAGGTTGCCACAGTATTTTTTGGACAAGCCAGTACACTCTGGCTGGTACAGTTATTGTATATACCTGTAGTATTATTCACCATGTTTGGTTTTTTAGTATGCATGAACACTATTATTAAGTTAAAGGAGGAAGCTAGCATTTATAATGGCAGGTACATTATTTCATTGATACACTTCTGAAGACCAGGTACTCATACATGAGCATCTTTTCGACAAAAAATATTGAAATATATGAAGTAGATAATGTAAACAGCAGCTGACAACTTTTGAGGTATTCAGGAAATATCACAAAGCTTGCAAGTTGCTGTTTAAAGAATTTCTTAGGTCATCCATGGCCATCTAATAAAAAGTGACTGACGTCTAATTTCAAGAATGGCTGGTGCCAACTGTACACTACTATAACAAACATAATTTAATTATTAATGTCAATAAATTTGAACAAATATGCTCATATGTTCTTTTTCGGAACTCGTTGAAAGATTCAACAAGTGGAACTCGTTGAGTTTGCAAGGTCCCTTTTGGTGGCAGAGAAGGTGTTGAATATGATGGTCCTGAAACACATCTCTCACTTTCAGTTTTAATATATGTACGCTGTACTTTCAGATCTTGACGAAGATTCAACGACTAGTACTTCCCCACACTTATGGCAAAATCGAAACGACTCTAAAACATCTGAATAACATATTGGACATTTCATTGTTTCGTTTGATGTAAAAGAATATTTTCAAACAATTTTCCCACGTTTTCCAGACGCCATTTTGAAATTTGAAGACATTCGTCAACACTTCATGTAACAAATGGTTTGTGACTTGTGAATTCATAGCTTCCACATGCAAGGAAATTCCTGGCTAAAGGAAATATTGGGCTCTGGCAAGATTTGGCAAGGAAAAATGGCAGAAACTCCTTTTTGGAACAAAATTGACAGGAAATATAATGAATTGCCAATATAATGGCAGGTAACTATTAGATTCCAACCATTGGGGCTTAATAATAGTGTTTCGAGCGAGTTACAGCCCTAAAAACAGGACAGCCCGCATGCGGGTTTTGGAGAGAACCGGGAAGTGTGGTTTTGTTTTCAATACGAACTACGAAGAACTATATGTTTTAATATTAGTGATATATTTACCATCTTTCTACTCTAAAAAGGAACGAAACAACAGGACAGGCTCGCGAGTAACTGACTTATCATTATATATAATCATTCAGTATAATCGTACACTTTATCAAGTAATTAATTGTAAACATATTTTTGTTTAATATAGTTGACTTCTTCGTCTTTGTCACTTTGTGTCGTATATTTGACACATCGATAATATACAAGATATAAAGTACAAAAACAAGTGTGGCCTACGTCCTTTGGAAAGTCCAAGTAAAGTAGCACTTCGAAACGAGAGTGCGAAACAAATAGTCTATTTCAAACGCCAGATAAGGATAAATAAATAAGGATGAAAACAGGAAATCCAGTTTTATGAAGTGGAAGCACTTGTTATGATTCGGAATTTGCAATTTCCAAATGTGTTTTGTGATTTCTAAATGTGGCCGAGTTTTTCAGTTTCCCCTGGCTGCCAGGGGAAACTGAAAAACTCGTTTTGCCGACAGTAGTTTGCTCGCAAATACGGTAAAATATATTTGCTTCATAGGCAAAAGCTATTTTTTGAGTTATATTTTGGTCAAGCCACATTTACTGTAGGTAAAAGAACATTATAAACACACAAAAAACACGATGCTGAGCCAAATGGACAAGCCTGTGCCACACCCCCAACTAAGGAAATTAGGTTACTAGGGAAACGAGAGAAAATTTGAGCGAGGAAGCGAGTATATTACAATGATCATTTGTGAGAAAATTTTATGTTTTATTAAACTTTTACTTTAAATTTCTTTGTGGTAAGTGTGCATTAACTTCTCCAGCACACTTTGGTGCCGTGACCAGGATCTATTCACGAGATTTAAACGCTTATATTCGAACATGTGCAACGAGCAGACCGAAGAAAGTTTACAACTAGAAATCAACAAGGAAACAGAAAAGTAGGTACGCAGTGCGTACATGTTGCATGCCATAAAAACCACGAAACCTCATGACTCAGGCTATGTTTACATTGTATCGGATCACTTTGCGTCCGACGCAAAAACCATACCGGATAGGGCTTCTGTTTACATATGAAATCTTGTTATCGTCTCAATTTCTGCAACGGACCGGTGGTGCGGCGGTTCGCTCTTCGAAGTGGTGCGCTGTGTATCGGATCGCTTTTTGCAACGCTCTCATTGTAATGTAAACACCAATCGGAGCAATTTTTGGTTCAATGCGTGACTCAAGATGGCATTAGGGAAACAAAGACTTGCTATTCTAATCTTATTTGCGGGTATAGCTTGCTCACGTGCACTTATAATATTTTTGTATTTAGATGGGCGGGGGCGGAAGCTGTTTACACTTGGGCCGTGACGTTTCGTGAACGAAGCAAAAACCGATCCGATACAATGTAAACATAGCCTTAGTCTCCTGCGCAGCCTGTTCGCGGGTCCGAGGTTTTCTCCCCACGTACAGGCTGCTTACCAATCTCGTTCCCAGAGTATGCCTGTTCGCGGGTTAGGTTGTGGCATGACTCTGGGGAAATCGAATTTTTTTATCCAAAATGAGATAAATGGCGCATGCGCTTTTATTGCTTTTGTTTATTCCGCTTACTAAATTCGCGCGGGCACACGCTCACAATCGATATTGTTTTAAACAAAGATTCTCATCAGAATATAGTGTACAAAATGTTTTTTTATACGTTTAAAGGTGCTTTAAATCGTACTACTATTAAATTATATTCAATGGCAAATACTGAAAGAGCTATGAAAGCTGTTCTAGCGAAGAGGGCTTGAATATTCGTTAAAAGACGATTCAAATGTATCTCGGCCATTGGCCATTGTAAAAGGATGAAGATGTTTTGGTTGTTTTGCCAACAGGTTATGGGCATATTATGGCAAATATTAAAATATTTCAGCTGCTACCTGACGTGTACGACATGTTACTTGGCGTAACTAATTCTATCGTGATAGTAATATCTCCACATGAATGACCCAAGGCATTTCTGCATGCATGATTATGGAAAGCTATAGCTGTCTTAAGTGGTCAAATGTCACTTCAATTGGTGCTTTTATCATTATATGCGGTGCATTCAACATTATGTGCTGTGCTTTGGGCATTATATGCGGTGCTTTGTACACTACACGCTGTGCTTTGAACATTATACGCTGTGCTTCGAGCATTATACGCGGTGCTTCAGGTATTATATGCGGTGCTTCAAACATTATACGCGGTGCTTCAAGCATTATACGCTGTGCTTCAAGCATTATACGCTGTGCTTCGAAAATTATACGCTGTGCTTCGAACATTATACGCGGTGCTACGAACATTATACGCGGTGCTACGAACATACGCGGTGCTACGTGCGCATTCGGTGCTTCGAACATTATACGCGGTCGTGCGAGCATTATATGAGGTGCTTTCGCATCATTATGTGGTAGTGAGCCAGTATGTTTGGACAGCGGTTTACAAAAAGTAATGTTGTATACTTTATGTCTTGAAACGTATACCTGGCTTCGACCACATGTAATTTTCCGATGCGAATTTACATGTTTAGCGACGGCACATAAACACTTTAATTTCAAGAATTTCGCGAGAAAGAAACCATTTTTTAAAACGTTTTACCGTTAGTTAAGTCTGTACGATGGAAGAGATACTGCGGTCGTTAGGTATGGAAACTATTCTTGGTCGTTTTCAAGCGCAAAGAATGGAGCCGCAAACCACGTTGGCCGCCTCCGATCAGGAATTAATTCGTCTCGGAGTGAGCACGATTGGGGAACGTATTCGTCTCCGAGATGCATGTAAAAGGAAAGTGGACGAATGCACTGCTTCAACAAGCCAAGCGTCAGCTGCTCGCGAAGAACGGCTATCCATTTTTAATCCCCGAAGGCACAACAACCGTACTCAGGCACGTACTGCGGCAAGAAGTACCACCAGTGGCGCGAGCAGGAGGGCGGAAAAGAGTCATTCATGGACGCCAACTTTTTTCTGCTTGGCAGATTCCACCGCGTCAAAAACACCTTCAGCAATGGAGAAGCAAATTTTGTTTAAAGCTGGTCTGGGCCTGAAGAAAATCAAGCTATATTTAGAGGATGACGAACAGACAGTTATAGGCAAAATTACATCTGAAACACAAGATGCTGCAGGAATTTCAATAGGTTTTCCACAGTTAAAAACCTGTGGAGGGTTTGAATTAATGCGGTGTGCGACGAACTGCAGAGATCTTAGCATCATTAGCTGTGCCTGGAATGCTAAAGATCTACGCTCCTCTTTGGGTGGTGGGCAGGGTAAAATTTACTTGCGGCCTATCCAGAAATCTCTTTCAACGCAACCCCTGTTTGAACAAAGCCAGTGCGAAGCAAAAGAGAAGTGTTACATGTGTAACCAAGAAGTTCTTGTCCGCAAGCTTCGAGAACATTTGTGGTCTTGCACTGAGGGATTAAACTCAGATGATGATCTTTTCTCAGACAATCCCCCTACAACTGGTGATAGTCCATCAACCTCATCTGATCCATCCAGTACATCCCAGCAACCTACCTCTGATCCAACCAGTACCTCCCAACGACCATCCTCTGTTCCATCCAGTGCCTCCCAGCGACCATCCTCTGTTTCATCCAGTGCCTCCCAGCTACCCTCCTCTGATCCATCTAATACCTCCCAGCAACGCTCCTCTGATCCAGCCAGTACCTCCCAGCGACCATCCTCTGTTGCATCCAGTACCTCCCAGCGACCATCCTCTGTTCCATCCAGTGCCTCCCAGCGACCCTCCTCTGATCCATCCAGTACCTCCCAGCGACCCTCCTCTGATCCATCCAGTACCTCCCAACGACCCTCCTCTGATCCATCCAGTACCTCCCAACGACCCTCCTCTGATCCATCCAGTACCTCCCAACGACCCTCCTCTGATCCATCCAGTACCTCCCAACGACCCTGCTCTGATCCATCCAGTACCTCCCAGCGACCCTCCTCTGATGTACATTTACCTAGTGTCTCACAGCGATCATCAAGTGTAACAACAGTTGATTTGGCACAAGCTGCTGAAGTTGAAACAATCAATCTTGCCAGCCAAACTGTGGATGAAGTAGTGAATGTCACAGTTGCCTTTTGTGAAGAAAGTTCTGTTGCTAGTCATGTTGAAATCTTGAGGTATTTTCAGAAGAAAATGGTCATTGGGAGAGTGCTTGAAGTGGAGAATGTGGCTCAAGCAACAGAGGGAGAGACAAATTACATAAATGTTGATCGGCACAATCTCATGGAAACTAGCTTTGAGGAGATCATGTTCCTTGGGGAATATAGAAAAACATTGCAAGTTCAATTTTACGGTGAAGTATGTAATATTGATATTTAAGTAATTAATATTTATATTTAATAGTTAAGGTAAGCACAGCATAATTACTATAATTACTTGTGTCAAAAGTAAGAAATGAAGTGAACAAATCCATATATATTTGTTGAAAAATTCTTGCAGTGGGTTCTTCCATTTGCTTTTCATTCTTCACACTGTGTATCTTTGGACATTTAATCAGCAAGTAATTATAGGGATATATTTACTAGCTCATTTCTCCATATTACCAGGTACATAACATGCAATATATCAACCTTGCAATCCATGCTTTAACCCATGCAGTTGCCCCCTCTCCTGCAGCATGTTTGGGAAGGGAGAGGAAGGAATGGAGGTACTGTAATTTCTATATTTAGCTCCCTTCTCTTCAAGCTCCCTTCAAGCTCCCTTCTCTTCAAAAATCAAAAATAAATAAGCCCCCCTCGGCCAGCCCCTCCTCTTTTAACCATGCAGCCCTCAATTAATTCTTAAAATCATGATATATATTGCATTTCGGCAGTATTTTAATAAAATATAGTACAATGGTAACTCTGAATATGGACATTTTTTAATGGTAACCAGACTTATTGCATATATTAAGAACAAGTGCCCCCTCAATGATGCTTAGGAAACAATAATACCCAGGAGGCTTGATACAGAAATTAAAGTAGTTATTTGATTGAAACTGGTTAACTGGTAGCTATTTCAATTCTACTGCATCTCCTTTTATATAGAATTGAATTAATTGCCAATATATTCACATAGTATAATAGTTTGGAAATGGAATCAATACTTGTATATTTTTAGCAATAGCAAATGAGCATTGTTATTGATCAAACAACATTGTTTCACATAGCGACAAACAAGGAAACATCTGTATTTAAATTCTCTACTTATTTTTTATCCAGACACAAATTGATGCAAAAATTGTTTCAGGTTTGGCTTAGTTATAGCCTTACATCGGGCTATTCCATTTAATATCCGTACCCCCTGTCGAGGATCCCTGGAATTCTTCAGGGGTAAAGGGTTTTGAGCTTGGAATTCTTCAGGGGTAAAGGGTTTTGAGCTTGGAATTTTGGAATTCTTCAGGGGTAAAAGGTTTTGAGTTCGAAATTCTTCAGGGGTATAACCATGAAAAACATGTATCCATCATGCTGTCAAGTGGCAATCACTTACAAAGCAAGTCTATAACCAAAATGTTTTACAACTTGAGGAACTTCTTAAATCAATTATTCTATAATTTATACAGATGCTACAAAAACACCTGGCATCTTAAATTTATATAGATAACTCCATTTACAAAAGCACAAAGACCACAGGCTACAACATGTTGAGTGTTGACCATAATGTACTGTATTGTTTAAAGCTTCAAGTTTTTAACACAAGCAAAAGCTGTCACTCCAAAGTCCTTGCAACAATATGTCAATTTAAAATTTAACAAAACAACGACGTGTGCGATGATTTCATTTAGCCAATTCTTTCATGGTTATAATAAATATACTCATACTGTAGATCGATAAAAAGTCATTCATAAATACCATGCCATTTTGTAAGTATATACCCAACGTCCCAATACTTTTTCATACGATTAATATAATATATCCTTCGATTTATATTGTTTGATTTCGCATTCCAAATCTGATAAACATTGTGAATTCTCTCTTCGCGTATGTCCACGCGTAATTCTCGTAAAAAACACGCATTAATTGTGTCGGCAGCATTGATGATCACGGCAGCCAATCAAATAACGATTTCGATTCGATTTCCCCAGAGTCATGCCACTACCTAACCCGCGAACAGGCATACTCTGGGAACGAGATTGGCTGCTTACTGCAACAACACATTCCATTCCGATTGTTTAGCCAATCACAGCCTGAGTACCAAAATCAGGAACTCATTCGCGCTTAAATTTAATAATTCCGAAACAAAGATGGCGTCGTATGATCAAGCATTGTATGAAGTCGCCCATTATTTCGTATTTCTACTTTCAACGATCATCAGAGGAATGCGATTCGAACAATAATTAAAGAAAAATGAGATGTGTTTGTCAACACGCCTACTACAGGCTTCGGTAAATCGATTTGCCTCTCATGTGATGTGATCGCCTGTTCCACGAATAATACCAGAGCGGTAGTTTACGGAATACCAGAGGCATTGCTCTTTATAAATCATTGACTATTTAACTGCCTTATTTATGTTTCAGTACCACCAGCTTCATAATTTACGAGATTTATTTAAAAATTATTTTATGACAAACAACAAAATTCATGAACATATTCATAACACGAGAAATGCTTCAAAATTTCACGAATGTTATAAAAGGACAAATTATGTTAATTATGTGAAACACTGTCTCTCATATATTAAAGGAGTTGATGTATGGAATTCGTTAGACACACATATAACTTCAAAAAGCAAATTAAACAACACTTTGCTATACACAATTGACAATTTATATTATAAGACATGCGATAAAACATACTTCTGCATTAAAATATATGTAATACTTTTATTAGTAATATATAGCACTTTTAATAGTTTAGTATTTTGTTGGTCATTGTTGCCGAGTCATTGTAAAAATTTAAAGGAGCAGTGTCACCGTATGCGCATCTCTTCTGCGCATAGCAAACTTGAAAACGTACAGGCTGTACGTTTTCAAGTTTATGATTCAAGATGGCGGCCATTTGCGAGTGAACGCATTGCAAGAGAGGCAAAAATTTCGGCACATAGATGTAAATACAAGGCTGGTGAAACTCTCAAAATACTGGAATAGACAGCTCAAAAGTTTATACCGATTCACGAATATATTTGAGGCAAAAAGGATGATAAATCTGGACGAAAATGAAGGCTTGATAAAGTTCACGAAGTGATAGCAATTTCGCTGTCCATTTGCTGTGGTTGAAATATCGTATGAGGTAAAATAATTGAATTCATAAATACGCTAAATCAATTTAGAAATATATAGCATAGGTGTAGCGATTTCAGGCATTCGTAGTAACAACAGCGAACGACTTAGAGCCTCAGACAAATCATATTATTATATATCAATAGTCAAAGTCGCATTTTTCTAGTGTTTTATTGGTTGAGAGCATATCACGTGAGAGTGACGAAATTAGGCTGTCTCCCTCGCAACAGCGCGAGAGGTAGTCTCCTACGCAGCCTGTTCGCGGGTCCGAGGTTTTCTCCCCACGTAACCTCGGACCCGCGAACAGGCTGCGTAGTAGGCATCTGTGGTACTTACCTAGAACAGGTAATCCAATCAGAACATCAGTTATTTGAATAACTAAATTATATAAGTTCTCGACAATTAAGAAATGCCTGCGCGCGCGGAGGAGGCTATTTCAGATTCACATTCGGATACGAAAATAGATAATTTACGCAATAAACTTGTTAATGAATTTCATTCTTCTTCAGGGGCCGGTTGTTCAAAAGCCAGTTAGCCTAACCTTGGGGTTAAAACAAATCTATACACTAAATTTTCCTACAGCTCATCAATCAAGTTGAATATGTTTTTCCAGAAATCTTTTCTGGCTCAATAGAGATTTTATTTTCCAAAGTTTTGAAACAAATGATCATGCAGAAGCTAGTACATAAACAAAAACAGCAGGTTAGAATTTAACCCAGAGTTAGCACTAATCGAACTTTGAATAACCGGCCCCAGAACATTACGCATTCAACAAATGTGCTTTGAAGGCCTTAGCGCAAAAGGTGAAGTCATTTAGCGCTGCCGCTGCTCAAATTGGTTTAAATTTTTGCAAACCCTATCCAGCAATTCCAAAGTGCATGATGTCGTCGATTCTATTATTTACTGTGAGAGAGTTAGAAATTGAACGTTATGTAAGAACAATATAGTGGCGACCACGAGAAGAGAATATTCAAGATGGCGAACTCAGTAAAATTGTTTGTATAAGTCTTGATATGTTTGCGTATATTTTATCATTTATTATTAAAAAGAAACAAATTCAATATCCCGCGGAAGCCTCTTGATCCTAAGTCTCTAAGATGGTCCTTCGAGCCGGATCTACGTTTAAATCAAGGGAAATCGAGAATTTGTTTACGAACTTGGCAAACATCGTTGATCGTGAGTTGAATAATTAGTATTCATATATCGAAAGTTTATTGGTGAAAATACGCGTAAAGTCGTTGATTATTCAATGATCGAGTATTCGAGTTACATCTGGACTTGAGAAATCTATGAAACCCTATATCCATTCTATACAAGATGACTGAAGAAGAATTAAAGAGGAAAATTAGAATCCGCGGGGGTCATCGGGCTTCAGCCAAACGCATAATTGCCGCAGCTGAAGAAAGTCTTCAAGTATTCGACCCAAACAACCCAGAAACAGTTATGGTGAAAGAGCAGCTGACCACCCTCAAGGAAAAAATGAGAACTCTGATGGTGCCGATGATGTTGTTGCCGATGATGATGGTGCCGACGATGATGGCTCCGATGATAATGGCTCCGATGATGGTGCCGATGATGATGGCGCCGATGATTTTGGCTGGAATTGAAATGATGATTTTGACTGGAATTTAATGGTTTTGGAATATCAGTGGTCAAATAAATTTTGTGTAAATTTCAATTTGACATTATATAAATATCAATGTTAGTAAGTGCACAAAATTTAGTCACTAAATTTTAAAAACTGTGGCTCTAGCGTCGTCAGAGATCGGTTCTAAAATAAGCCATTCCCGATTACGCTAGCATAATTTTCAGCATAATTTGGCTTAATTAAGGTGGCTCAATACAGTTTTTAAAGGAATGGAAAATTCACGATTTAGATGCGTATTTTTTGGACAATTATTACTTGTTGATAAACAAAAAGTACCTTACTTATATAAAACAACATCTAAAGAGTTTGAATTTGTACACAAAAGTTACGCAACTGTCGTTGCTATGGTAACAATGGCGTTTCAAGATGGCGGATATTTTGGCTTTAAAGTAATTTAACTCGTAAACGACATCGGTGACCCCCAAATTTTATTTTAAAAAATAATTTCTCTTAGCATAAATAATTGTTTTGACAGTTTAAAAAAAATTCTGTCGAGCCGAAATTTTTAAAATTACGTAAAGGTGATTATTCATAATAATTTCTTGGGCTCCACAGAATTTTTTTTAAAATTGTTAAGATAATTGATTTTACTAAGAGAAATTATTTTTTAAATAAAATTTGGGGGTCACCGATGTCGTTTACGAGTTAAATTACTTTAAAGCCAAAATATCCGACATTGTTGCCATAGTAACGGCAGTTCCGTAACTTTTGTGCAAAAATTCAAACTTCTTCGATGTTGTTTTATATAAATAAAGTAGTTTTTGTTTATCAACAAGTAATAATTGTCCAAAAATACGCATCTAAATCGTGAATTTTCCATTTTGTTAAAAACTGTATTGAGCCACTTTAACGAGCATATTTTTTTTGAAAAAAGAATGGCTAGCATTTTTCAAATTCAGCATTTTCCCGCTAATTTCATCTGCATTTTCGTGGCAGGAATTTTTGGACATTTGCCTATTCAATCTCGAAACCCGAGGCTGCAATCCTCTGTGGAGGCTTGCTGGGGCTCTGGGAAACACCAGCGAAAGTCGGGCTCATATGACCCCAATTATACTAACAGGCTTTCAGCCCTTGTATAATTGAAATTAAATTTCATGAACTCTGGTCAAAATATATGAGAATTCAAGCCTGCACCAGCGTTTCCAGCTGGATTCGTATGTTTTGTGTGTGGAACGTCCAGTTGCTGAGATGATTAATTCGACTACGTTCCTCGAAATGCATTCTGCTCGAGATATGAAACCTAGTCCACGTCCTAATCACCTTGTGAGCATGTTTTGGCTAAATTGCGCAATCCTGAGCCCACGATGCTGCAATGGAAAGTCACACTTGCGATAATGAAAAAAAAAATACAAAACGAAAAAGACCAAGGGCATTCTATGATACTGGCTGCGGCCAGTGTAATAATAGCTATCGTCGCAGTGAGAAAACCAAAAATTTGTCATTTAAAATGTGTTGATGCAGTAAGGACTGCAAGTTAGGATTCAAAATTGGAATTTTCCTTTTATCCACAATGGATATTTGGGCAATTAAGTTTCATATCCAGATCTTGTTGTAACCGCTTCTTGGATAATAAAATGACCAAATTTTACAAATTGTTCGGAGCGATAGCGAATAATACCTTAATCCCATTCCTAATCTTAACTTTAATCCTAACTTTAATCCTAAATTCTAACCCTATAATCCTAGTTACCTTATTTCGGGATAGTAGGCTAGTGTAGAAGGTTATTCATTTTATCTTTGACAATAAATGACAATAAAGATAACTGAGTGTTCATAATACGTGACCCCATTATTTCCTTGTACAGTATATGGACGGCCTTTTCGTAATGACAAAAGTCTATATTAGGCGTGTTTTCAAATACAAAATCCGTTATGTTCTGTGCCATAATAATTCCAACTATCAAGAACTTTGATGTATTGCATTTAAAGTGCCCCTAACCCCTTTATTTGTGAAATTGTTTGATCTATGCAAGACTTGGATATTAAAGAATGTATTTTAAAATTCGAAAACGTCGAAAACATATATATGATGACGAAAGGGATGACGCAAGTTATAGAACATTGTAGGTTGTGCGTATTGTCAAAATTATCGTACGAAATTAAGTTCCATAGTTCGTTGATAAAAGATATGACTTGGATCACCTAAGATAGTATCGAGTTCTCTCGATGTGGCTTCAATTCTTCTCTCTTCGAGAGTTGGCAGGTAACCATGCGGGAGGCCAATAATTCGTAGACTCATTCTTTGCACACGTTCCAATTCGTCCTTTACATATCGTGGCAAGACACCCCACACTGGAGAACAATATTCAAGGATAGGCCTGATTTTAGTTAAATGAGTGGTGAGACCCACTTCGACTGGTAGGTTCGCTCTTCTACATTATCTTAGGCAGTACAGGTTTTTAGCTGCTTTGCGAGTGGTCTCCTCGACATGTTTATTCCATTTCAGATCCTTTTGAAACCAGGTTCCCAAGAGTTTGAAATTATCGACTCTTTCTATGATAGCATCTCCTATATGCAGTGGTAGAGGGGGCGGTGCTTTGGTGAAGTTAATATCTTTTGTCTTTTTGGCATTCAGTTCCATCTTATTTTCCACAGCCCAACTTTAGATTCTCCTGTTCTAATGGACGTATCCATGGTGCAATCGTCCGCATACTTGGTTGTGTTGACACATGCTTGTTCAGAAACATTTTCCTCCATATCTTTAATATGTATGTTGAATAAGGTCGGCGAGATAGCAGATCGCTGAGGGACGCCGGCTGGGCATGATGCAGTAAAGGATAGTACACATTGGAGATTTACCTGTTGTGTTCTTCCCTCCAGAAAACTCATTATCCATAACCAGAAACTCCTTGTTACATTCATATCAACAAGCTTGTCCAGAAGGATCTTATGGTTGACCAAATCAAACGCCTTCCGGAAATCAACAAATAGGGCGTGGTTGAGGAGTTGTCCGTTGAGTCGAACCAGTTCTGAGATATGGAGGTAAGGGCAGACACGGTGGAGTGACCGCTCGTAAAGGCGTGCTGGTTTGTTTTGATCTTGAAACTGGATTTATTGAGTTGGAGCTGTAGCTTCTCGATAACTTTTGCTAGTTGTGGCAGCACGGAAACTTGGCGGAAGTCACTATCTAGGTCTGTGGGTGGACGGATCTTTGGTATGGGACTGATGATTACATGCTTGTAGGAGGTAGGATATTTGCATTGAACTATGCTTGCAACCACAATATCGTGGACCATTGGTGCTAATTCTTCTGCTTACCGTTTAAGACACCATGCAGGGATATTATCAGACGCAGTGGCTTTCCTAGGATTTAGGTGTTTTAGGACGGTTTTGACGAGGCCAATGGATGGTAGAGGTGGGTGGCTGTCCTTGAGCAAATGCTCTACCGCTTTAAGTCTGGGAGGATCTGGTTGGATTTCTAGCCAAGGCTTAATAAAACTTCTTTGTAGTCAGTCAGCGATTACCATTAAGTCGGCGTGATCAGGCGAGGACAAAGATTGTTGATCTTCGGTTGCTGCCGCTAGCTTGTAAATCGTTTTATACCATTTGGCGGGATTGGATTGATGGCTGCCTTCAGCCTTGGATCAGCTTGGTGACTTTTGCATGTAAACTTTTATACTTCGGTGTCTCTCCTTTCGTAAATGCTCTGTCTTGCTTTTATCAACGCTTTAATATTGGGGGTCATCCACCGGATCCACGGTTTGTCCGTACAGTGTGCGCGAACTGTTCTCACGGGTATGGCTTGATCGAGCATACAGATGACGATAGAGTTAAAGACTGAGACCTTGTCATCCACATCTCATTTGGAATATACTTTCTCCCAGTCTTCCAGATTTATTTTCAATCCCAGAACGTTTAAGTCCCGTTTTATACGTCGAATTTTGGTCGCGTCGAATGCAAGTAAGACAATAGATGAGATGATAAACCTCATTAAGCTTCATTATCTATTGTTTGAATTGCATTCGACGCGACCGAAATTCGACGTATAAAACGGGCCTAAGTTCTCTGGTTTGATTTGTCGATATTTCTTTTAATCGGGGCATCTTCTGTCTTGTTTTGGGTGGTAAGAACAAACATTGGTGATAGGAACGTCCGATAGGTGGAATGTGGAGAACTTCGTCATACAGATCTGACATATTGGTAAGTATTTGGTCCAAAATTTTTTTTCCTCTCGTGGGCGACATGACCTGTTTCCGTACATTAAAACGGCGACACAAAGGATTCAAGTCCAACTTGAAGTCCCCAGTTACAAATATGCCGGCAGAAGGGCGCTCAGCTAAAGCGATGTCCATCTTTTGAGTTAGGTAGTCCAGCATCTCATGTTCATTCTCTTTACCTTGACCTGGAGGATAGTATACGCTTACTACAACTGTTGGGTCTCTGTGTTCTGGGTGGTTTTAATAATAGCCAGAGCGCTTCTTTTCCTTCCTCTTCTATAGTTCAGGAAGGCGTTTAGCAGGTAGGTCAGATTTAATGTATGCCAAGATACCACCACCTGGCGTAGGTCTGTCGAGCCGATATGAATTGTAAGTATTTCCTATGTTAATAATAGAATCTGGAATATCAGACGATAACCAGGATTCTGTAACCAAAATTACACAGGGATTGTTTATCGCAACCACTGCAGACAGTTCGTCCACCTTGTTTGCTTTGTGACAGGCATTGGTAGCAAAGAGAGATGGAACAGCGCAGTTGTCTCGGTGATTTTCCAGGTTACTATTAATTACAGTGACAGTTAGGAGGTTGCGTGGATTACTAGTTCGCTTTCGTTTATCACTATAACTTGCAATTGTTACCATCGTATGGTGGGAAACTCGGACGGGGATAGTATCAAACGGCAATGTTACATTCTGCTTATCCGGCTGACCAGATGTAAATGGTCTGTACCAATCGGGGGCACGGTGGTACGAACGCGGTATCCGAAAATTTTGATGTGCTACGACACTTGGAGGATCAAATAACAGGCGTACGCATCAAAAGGGAATGACTACCGTTTTGCGATCGTGGGGGTTTCTCGAGTCCATTTTGTAATTTCTTAAAATGAGTTTTTCTTTGTTTAATCGCTTTCGTTTCATGTTGGTTTAGCGGTTTAGGAAACTGCTCAATCAAAGGGAGTCGATTTATCCAATGGGAATAACTTAATTTATGGTTTTTATCGCAGTGATTACTTGGCTTACCGACGTAATGAGTGCATGATTCCTTCTGGATTAAGTGATTACGATTTGGTGTGTATCGTTGTACGCTTGGCTGATTTAAGCCCTTGAACTGATAAACTATCATTTTCGCTCGGTTGAGAACGACAGAACGTTCAGTTCGGATTCGCAATAAGGCCCCGTTTACATGAGACCGGAACGAAGTCAAACCAGGACCATTTCGTTTCGGTCATAGTATTATTTATAACAGATGTTTACATGAGACCGGAACGAAAATAACTCAGACCGGTCTCAATTAGTCATTCCGCCAGCTGGACCGAGCTGACTGACTTCAGACCGGCATTAATTCAGACCGGGTATCGGCTGTATAACCTTGACATTGGAACAATTCATGCTAACAAAAGCTATCTAAAAAGAAAATTGCTTGGCAAGGGGGAATAAATTGAAAATTTTGTGATTTTCGTACCGGTCTCATGTAAACATGTTGACAATTTTAATTTTCATTCCGGTTTGACTTCGTCCCGGTCTCATGTAAACTGGGCCTTAAGCCTGCCGCACACGAGAGCTATCTGCTGAGCAAAAAGTTACTCGTGTCTGTTAGCTCAGCCGATAGCTCACCGTGTGCTGGTACATTATACTGAGTTTTTTGCCTCATGCAACCTTTTCTCACGTATCAAACATGTTTGATCGGTGAGCTATCGGCTGAGCTAACAGGCACGAGTAACTTTTGGCTCAGCAGATAGCTCTCGTGTGCTGCAGGCTTAAGGCAGTAGGTTGTTTGTCAATAACAGGTACTGTATGTAACAATCGGCATTGTTGTATTGTTACAACAATACAACTCTTTTGTCGATTATTCTCTGCCATAAAAGAAACGTTGGTACCGCTAATATCTAGTGCGGGCAATAAGTTTGGTTCTGTGTGAATGGAACTGAGCGCTGGAGTCTTTAAACTCGGTTTGGCTTTGTTAAGAAATTGCCAACTTTGCATGAATTATAATTAAAGGAAACGGACTTCTCATCAATAAATTTATGCACATATTTGAGGTTCGCAGTTGGTCATTAATCTTTTCAATAGTACTAATTTTACTCTGAAGGGAAGCTATTGCTTCATTAAGTTCGTCAACCTCAATATTTCTTTCTCTTACTAGCAAAGTAAGATCCGATTGAAGGCGATTACTTTTTTCTTTTTCACAAGAAAGATCATGTTTAAGTTGGTTTATATTTGTTTGCCCGTCTACAAATCTGCTAAGTAAGAGTTAGATACCGAAAACGGAGGCTCTTAGTCAGATACAAACCCGAGGGGCCGTAGGCCCCGAGGGATTTATCTGACTAAGAGCCGACGTTTGAGGTATCTAACTAACTTAGTTCATATTTGTAAGGCTTGACCCACAATGAAATTTACTTTATGATATGTATTGTTCTTTAAATGAGTTTGAATTACCATGGTTGTAATAAAAACAAACAGGGCTTTCGCATTTGATATGCATCGTGTCGCACTACTTTAAACTATCAATGAGAAGTGATTATATATTCGTTCACCAACAACAATTCCGATGAAATACAGGGTGTCCCAAAAAAAAGTGACACTATAGAAATTATCTCATTGTTCTTAAGCCGCTCTTAAACGCGCGTGATTATACCCCTGGGAATTTAATGAACTTGCACTGTACAGTACAAGTTTTGTTCATTAAATTCCCAGGGGTGTAATCACTTGCGTTAAGAGCGTCTTAAGAACAATGAGATAATTTCTATAGTGTCACTTTTTTGGGACACCCTGTATGTTTGAAATAGCTCATACAACCGAGAAGCGCTAACAAAGATTTGAACGGCTTTGGCGAAGCAGAGATTCTCAAGTTGTTCTCAATAGGGTTTTATATACTGTATAGGATAAAAACCGAATGGGAGGTCCTTCATTGAAATTCAAGACCGAGGCGCGCAGCGCCGAGGTCTTGAATTTCAATGAAAGACCGACCATGAGGTTTTTATGTTGTTTATATCTATTTTCTATTGTCCTCGGGAGGTTGTGGTTGTGGGACGAAATAAGGTGGAACATGCGCATTAAACACGCTTTAATGTGGTTGAGCATGCGTAGTATATCATTTCGCGTCCCACAAGCGAAAGGGCAGGTATTACTGTATAAATTCCTTGCACACGCAAGTTTGATGCTTGGTTCAGCTAGTCCTCGTGCACCGAATGATAAATACTCTACCCAAAGGTAGAGTTTGACGGGCTCTGAGGTACACGGCTGTTGTCTCTTTCTCGACTCAGAGACGTGCAGCGTTTTCTAGTCGAAAAGGAGATGTGGGGTTTGAGTTTTGTTACAAGTTCAAGGTATCTAACTCCATAGTGACCTCTAAAGGAGGTCACTATGGAGTTAGATACCTTGCATTTTTAATTAGGCATTCAATTCTATTCATCAACCCCGCTTTTCCCGGTGGAGATATCAAATCCCTCCCCTTGCTTTTAGATTCTTACCCAAATAATACCATGATGACCTCGGGTTCTTTTGTTCTCGCCGGGTGGTTTAATCTCGATATTCCCGGCTTAGCTGGGAGATCTCTAATTCTCCCGGCAAAGCCGGGAAGATTTCTAATTTCTCCCTGATTAAAAGTCATGAGCCAAAATTCAAAGACACGACAAAGAATTTTCTTAATAGCTTTTACACCACAAACAAAATAATTACACTACAATGTTAATTACAGTAAGATAAAGTGTTAATTACTCGATCGACTTATTAATATTCACTTTTCACTAAACATTTCACACAACTATATTATAAAGACATTAATTTATTTACTCGTATTAATGTTGTTCACAGTTCCACAATTAGCTCCTTGTAGTAGTGCGCTGAAATCTATACCCTTTCATCGCTAACCGACACTGCATCTGCTCTCTTCTTCATTGGGCTTTGGGTGCTCTGTACTTCTTTCAGCTTCCCATCGAGCGTTTGCTGAAGCGGCTTAAACTCAGCCGAATTAAACAGGTTTAACTTTGGATATTGCAACTGAACTGTTTGGTTTAAACCACAAAACAGACTATACATGACTTCATGGCGGTATTCTTTACCGTTTCTCTTCCGTACTTCTAGCGTTAATCGGCTAAACCAGTGATTAATTTCGTCAACTCTCATCTCCTGCAAATCTGGCACACGCTTGAATACTTCACTCTCGGCTTCAAAATCACGAAACTCGGTATTTCTTGCCTTTGCCCATGCTTTATAAACATTCGTGCTCCACCTATTGTGTGTTTGATAGTATTCTCAGGCGTTCTTTTATTTCTAACTTTCTGAACATCGGCTTCCATAACAAACCAGAAACGTTTATCCGCCATATCATTCTTAGTGAGCGTCCAAAAACAAGAGTTGAGTTAAAAAGTAACTCATTTTATATGCATACATGCACATGCACCCGGCACTGACACACGTATATTAAGAATTGTTTATTCGCAAACGAATTTCCGACTATGGAAAATTGTTGTATACATCACTGATCATGCATTGTATTACACAATACTCGTACTATTAATTAATTTTGTACAATGAAATGTAGCCTCACCTCGGTCATCATGGTATTACAAACTAATACCATGGTTTTTAAGAATATAGTGATTAAATCTCTCGCGAACCGAGGAGGTTTGTGAAAGTCCCTCGGGACGCCTTCGGGCTTCGCCCTCAGGCTTTCCCTCGAGACTTTCACAAACCTCCCTCGGTTTTCGGGAGATTTAATCACTATATTCTTAAAAACCATGGTATTACTTATAATAAAACCCTATTGAGAACAATAGATATCCGCACAAATATGAACTAATAACGGCCGGAGTCCAACTTATTCTCAAAATTTGTTTGCATGATAACTAATTCCAATTTTACCCCTTCAAAAGTTCGGCGGCCAAAACTCTATACAGCTACAACCGCAGTTATTACCCATTGCGATCTGATCCGTCTGAGAGAAATTATTAATCAGTACAGGAGCCAAGCGGTGATGAATACTATTCTGTTTATCTAGTTCACTTTTAACTAGACCAACAGTATCAGTGACAGTATTTACATTAAAACGGTGTGACAGTATTTACATTAAAAGAAAAAATTTTGGTGTGGTTAACATTCTTCGGTTACAAGACTCAACGACACTTTAGCATGAATCCGGCAAGGTTAACACAAGAAAAAACAATGATCAGCATGCAGTTCTAATTATTACGAATCCTAACTCGGAGTCCTAACTGCATTGCTATTAACATTTTAGGCTGTGCGTATTGTCAAAATTACCGAACGAAATTCCCGTAAGCATTCCACGTTGCCACCAAACTTAAAGGCCCTGTCACACTATTGCGTATCCGCCGTATCGTACTATAGCGCATGCCAGCGTATGAAAAATATCACTCATACGCTGGAAAACGCTGACAAACGCTAGGGGTACGTTAGGCATATAGGTTGTATACATTTCAAGCACGGTCGCGTACGGTGACCTGCTGGAATACGGCGAGGCAGCAACTTTTTTTAAGCATGCTTAAAAATTTTGTGCGTATTCGGACGTATGATATATTTATACGACAAGCATACTGTATTCTAGGCACACGCCGAATACGCCAGAGGTACGCCAGTGTACGGTACTCGTACGCTAGCATTTCAAAGGACTTTTATGCGTATGAAAATTACTTCATCAATTTTCATACGCTCCTCGTGCATACGTTTCTCTCATACTATGGTCAAAGACTTGCCTAGAAGCGTGGCATGTATAAATATGAGTCATCATGCTTTGAATAGGGATGACGGCGCCTATTTGCCAGAGGAATATACTGTATGCATCTTCTTGGCAGGTGACGTCATCCCTTGGGTATTTAAGAAGCCACGATCGCAGTTTTAGATCACCCCTGATCATATGCCCTGATGAAGACACTAGACTGGAGTGTCGAAACGTTGGGTCTTGATTACAATTCGACTGGGCTTTGTAATCCGATTTATTTAAACCAGAGTAGCGAGCGAAACATGATTGATATACCTGGTTGCAGTGAACGAACAAACTTTATAAATAGTCATCTAATTTCAAAACGGAAGAACAAATCTTGATGTGGCTAACAATTCTTTGGTTATAAGACTCAAGGACACTTTAACATGAAACAAAATATGGTTAACGCAATAATCAGCAGTATTATTATATTACATATATAAACTATCTAACACAACAGCAAGAAATAGAATTACATTCTCATATTTAAAACCAAACTATCAGTACATGAAAGCTCACTCAGTCAGTCATGCAGTTAATAGAAAACAATGTTTGGAAGTACTAGGACTGCTAGGTGTACCGATATACCGAAACCGGGCAAATATGACTAAAAACACCGCGGCCAAAATTATAGGCATTACTTCAAACCGCTTCAGACAAAAATGTTACGATTATATCATTTGAAACAGATTAGTTGTCACATTTAAGGCTAAACCAAATTTTTCACTTACATTGTGCAATAAAAAGAGCGTGTAACGACTGTTTCAAACCTGGTTTCAAATGATTTTAAGGTTACAGAATAGCCTGCGAACAGGCTCTCAAGCTGAATTGAGAGCCTGCATCGATGACTAATGAATTTGAATATCTGCGTCTCAAATCGTGACGCGAAATTCTCAATGGTCAGATGCTATAATTTATATTATTCCGCTGAGCTCAATATATGTCAACTGCTAGCACTATGCATAAAAAACACATTAGCTGATCAAATTGGTCTTGGCCATCTTATCTCAAAGCACGAAATGTTCTGTTTTGAGAAAACAGTATTTAAAACATTTAAACTTTTGCTTCAATATCTTATATTTCGAAAAACAGTATAAACTGTACGGTCTAAATTTAGTTTGCATGAAAGTTGTAAACAACACCATATAAGGATAGACATCCCATATTTGGAAAAACGAACGTTACGGGGCAGATATTCAAATTCATTAGTCATCGATGCAGGCTCTCAATTCAGCTTGAGAGCCTGTTCGCAGGCTAGGTTACAGAACACCTTTGAGTGTTAATTTTGCCTAGTTCTATTTTGCCTAGTTACAGAACACCTTTGAGTGTTAATTAGACTAGTTCTACTATCTGACCAAGTTTGAACGAAAAATGTTGAAAACTCGCAGAGTTATTTAATAAAATGCATTGCGCTGCAATAAGAAAAACATTGAAAATGTAATATTCAAATTCAATTTTCTCCGAATTTTACTGATTTTCAAACGAGTTGTTCTCCTGCGGGTTTCAACGAATTGTTCTTAAATTTTCACAGGACATACTAGTTAAGTACGTCAGTTTCAAAAACGTGTTCGGCTTTTTTCTAATTTTGGCTATTTTAATAATGGGGAGCAATTCACTCAAACGATTCAGAAATATATTGCAGTCGTCGTCAAAGAAATCGCCATACCAGCGGAATGACGAAATAAACGAAAAATTTCCCGACACATTTCTTTAGAACAACTATTTTACTCTATATTACAAAAAAATGATATTTTCATAAATATACCTTAAAACCAACAGGAAAAGAACTCGAAAGCGTAAAGTACCTTTTTTTTTATTTTGTTTGTCACTTTTACAACTTTATCATATTTTGCTTGCACTGGCGAACATTTGGTGAAAATTAGACTGATATTGAGCGCGCAGTAGCGATTTTCCGCAAAACGCCAAAAAGAATGTCCTGTAACCTTGGAATTATATTGCAGTTCACCAGTCTTCTTGACCATATACTTATTTTCTGTTAACTATATCAATATACAACTAACGTAAACACCTGTCTACCAAACCGTGCAAGTATTGTTCGGCAATGGGCATTCAAATGCTTTGCTAAATTCAGGAAAGTTGGACAATGGAACTCGTACTCTGAAAGTTAATGGAAAAGTATACAATTTCAACAAATGGCATGTTATATAATACCGTGTCATCGATTGGCTACAGTGAAGGTACCGTAAACCTCCGATTTTATAAGCCCTGAGCTGATATTCTTTCGTAAACGATTTTTTATGGGCTTATACAAGGGCTTATATACCGGGGGGGGGGGGGGGACGATCTTTTGTGTTAGTGTAATAGTGATAAACAAGTATAGTAATAAACAAGTGGTAGACAAGCATACCGTAGTAATAATAGTGATTAATAGTGGTAATAGTGATAAATAATAGTGATAACAAGTGGGCTTATATTCGGGTGGGCTTATATTGGGGGGGGGGACTTATATTTGGAATGAGGTGAGCGTTAGTACATGTGGTGGGCTTATACACGGGGGGGGGGCTTATATTCGAAGGTTTACGGTACGCCGTATATGAACATAGATTTTCGGGTCAATTCCAACGTTAACTATTTCCTATCCCTACAATCAAAATCCTAACTTTAAACTTTATTCTAACACATATCCTAGTCTCATACCATAGGCAGCCCACCAATATACTCTATAATTATGTATGTATATCATGCATGATAAAAGTAGACAGTTATACAGAAAGGTGCAAAGGCAATTTTGAATTGGACTTTCTAAAATGGCAGATAATCCCTTACGAAAAATGTACATATCATTTCACAGCCATTAATAATTCATGAAGAGAACGCAAAAGAAACCATGAGCGTGCAGGAGTTTGTGTATCTGGTACAGATATGTTCATGCTTTACACATAAACTTTAAGTTCAATTATCTCACCAAATATCATTTATTTATTTATTTAGCTTTGCCAACTAGGGCAGGGTCACCACAACAGCATATGCCAATTACTATGGGCCCTTTTACCTAACCCACCCTGTCAACTTTCCCTGTGGGAGGAAACCGGAGTACCCGGGGAAAAGCGAGCGTTGACTTTTACTCTTTTCACATGAGGACTGGGTTCGAGTCGCGCTGAGAAAGTTCTCACTGAGGCTTGAACTTGCAACTTCAGAGGTGAAAGGCAAGTGCGCTAACCACTTGGCCACCGAAGCCCAAAAATAATTGAAAACATGAATGGATTTACTGGGGTGGAGGTTGCACCCTCCCTAGCCTTGGCCAGAGGGGGTGCAGGGGGGGGGTGCTATTTTTCATGATAAAGTAAAAAATTATTAGAAACAACATGAGATACAATAATTTGAGTAATAAATTGATGATAACCAAACTGTGAACAACAATTACAATTCAAATACAGTAGTCAAGCAAGACTTTACAGTAGTGAAGCTAGTTGATGGACGGGCGGCACACATGACCGATACAACTCGGCACCAGAGCTGGCAGAGCACCCCCATATCATGCTGGATCCATCCCTGATTGAAAAGCTCTGCAATGTCTCCAGGGCAGGATGCTGAGCGAACTGAAACGTGTCCGATTCACTTGCTCCCATAGAAACAATTCTTGGAACGCTGGAGTCTCTGACTATTTATTTTTGTCTCTCTCATTTATTTTAAATTGTTGAAGAATACGAATGTTCTCATCAAGACGTTTCACAAGCCATTCGTCGGCTCGAGTTTGTATATCCGATACAACAAGGCCGCTCATGTTGTATTAAAAAATAGTACGTGAAATTGGAATACTTCACAGGTCGGAAAATGGTCTTTGTTTGACTTTTCGGAAAGTTTGACTTTTGGTAGCCAGTTGAAATTTGGCCAATGATTTTTCCGATTATGGCACTTGTGAAGCAAATTGGATCCCGCCAGATACATTTACAAACAAACTTTCGATAAAATGCCTTTTATCGATGAAATTTAGTACTTTCAAACCCTTTTTCCATCTAAAAACTATTTATAAAGTTAGAAAATATATCCAAAGTGATTTATTATTTTTTTAATTAAGAGATTTGTGATATTTTCCTTGTTTCAAGCGATGGCGCGTGTTAAGGTTACTTCACATGATGAACGTGCGTTTTAGTCTATTGAACATGGTGCAACGAATTTTAGGTGAAGAAAGCCAAGAAAATGATGATTTGGAAAATCTTCATTTGATGGGTAGTCTGTTTAAACATGTCCAGTATTGGCTGACTAGAGAAATATATAGGTATCTCATAAAAAAATCAAAATATGTTTATAGTTTGTCTACGTTTGTCTACATGTCTCGATTTGAATCTTCATAAGTACGGTAAAAAAAAAAACGTGTGCGGAAAATTTCTCTTCTTCAATGGTTTTTCTGACATGACGTTTTCTTTGACAACTTCGTGAATTATCAGTGATAAACCCAAGAATCAGGGCATATCAGAAAAACCACTAAAGAAGAGAAATTTTCCGCACACGTTTTTTTTTTACCGTGCCTATGAAGATTCGAATTGCGATATCTAGACAAACGTTGAGGTAAACTATACACATATTTTGATTGTTTTACTGAAAATGTTTAAACTGAACACCCATCAAATGAAACTTTTCGAAATCAGATTTTCCTGGCTTTCTTCACTGAAAATGTGGTAAAGTTATACCCAAAAGTCGTGCGCAATGTCCAATAGACTAAAATGCACGTTCATCGTGTGAAGTAACCTTAATCAGGATCCGGTTAAATTAGCCAAGACTATGGTATATGTTGTGGTTAAATTAACCAGGAAATTTAACCAGTAACATTAAGTTACCACAAACAGGGTTAATTTTAGGTTAACCAGGAATTTTTAAACCAGCTGAGGGTGTTTTTGGAGTGTGATTTTACATTGCTGGGAAGAAGCCATCTAAGTGCTTGACGTCTTTTACCCGTGCTCAGAAGGAAGTTCACCCCGCCTCTTTATATGGGAATTTGCCAGAATGGGGGCAGTATCATATAAATACTCAATATATTACTAGCGTGATCTCGGCAACTGTGCCGCCTATAAAGGGCTTAAACTGTCCTTCCTAGTGGTCCAGCGATGGTCAATGGAGAAATTGGAAAACCCAGAAAAAACTTGCAATGTTTGGTAGAATCACCTGGAAGCACTCTTTTCACTATAAAACGTAATGCATATCGCAGAAGCACGCGACCAACACTCCCACACTACACACCTGACTGGATCCAGAGAATGCGTGTCGAAATTCATCGCACTTTCAGCGCCCTTTGTTGTATATTTGGCACACAATAACTATACAAGGAAAAATATTGAAAGGATAATAAGACAGAACAAAACAGCGACGGATACTTTTGTTGCTGGCAAACTTTTTTTGCCTTAAATTTCATGTAATACTACAGCTTAACTTTTAACCTGCCAATTTATGATTTCTTGGTTGAAAATTATTGTCACAGCTTTGTTATACACAGTTATTCAGCTATAATTTTACAGTGTAGTTTTGTTTGTGGAAACACCACGTAAATTTATTACTGTAAAGCTTCGATCCGTAAGCCCGGATCTTCATCAGTGCTAATAATATGATAATAATAATAATAAAACAAAGCTAATAATATAACAAAGCTGTGACAATAATTTTCAACCAAGAAATCATTAATTGGCAGGTTAAAAGTTAAGCTGTAGTATAATATATTATAATAATATGGCTTACGGATCGAAAGCTTTGCATGCAGTAATAAATTTACGTGGTGTTTCCACAAACAAAACTAATATATTTTATCACCATGCAAACATACAAAGAACTAATTCTCTCAGATATTACTGGGTAGGGGGCAGTTGCCCGCACTCCCCCCCCCCCCCCCCCCATCGCGCACATCCCGAAAAATCCCTAAAATCTCGTACTATGTTTTGCAGTGATACACCTTTACATGCAGACAGTGTAAAATTGGGTTGGTTTAAGTTACTCCCATCCTGCATACATTTTAATTTATATAATATTCTAAGACGTATTTTCATGTAATTGCTGGCCATGAATCGGTCTCATAAACACCAGGAGCAAATGAAAGTGATGAATTCGTTCGTACGAGTATATATCAGAACATACGTACCTGAGCAAACCCAATGAAGAAAAGTTGATCATTATTAAAAGGAAGAGCTGGTAACTTTTCTTCATTGCCATGTATATCACGCCATTTTTGATATGCCTACCAAAAGACACGACAGATAAATGTTATTGGTGCACTGTGTAGCCAAGTTACGGGTTAATGATCTCTCCTCTGCAGACATATCCACTATACGATTAACTTGACGGACTATAGGTGCGGTTCCCTACCTTTATACCCATCAGGCACCGATTTTCGGGCGGGGTTGTTTGGCCAAAATCATAATATCAGTGGAAAGATTATAGATAGCTTGTGCTTTATTTAAAACAAGCAATAGTAAAAAAAGGATTTAGCATTAAAATGGCCTGCGAATTGCTCACAATACAAAATAATGTTACCCTGGTTGTAACGTTGAGCATACCCGACGATGGGTATACTAGTATGCATACATCCAAGATGGCGGAGTGCATAACGATTTTGTTTGAAATGAAGGGTAATATATTTTATACCAAAAACGATATAGAAAATCTGTAAAAAGGTTTTGAATAATGTCGAATCCCTCTTTCAAATGGGAGAAACTTAATTTTCTTTCTATTTCCCTTTAAAGCGTCTACTTTTCCCGAATAAAAAAATCAGCAGCATTACTGTAAATCCAAAGGGAAAACAGGCCTTATTCACCCAAAAATCTCTTCCCCAACCTTTCGCAAATTCCACTTACCTTAAAAGCATACTTCAAACCTCCGTTATCAGCAATATTTTCTGATAATGTCTTGTTGCCATCCACCTAAGAAACGCAGTGTGCATTATTATGTTGTGGTTATATAACAGGGTTGGTACAAGGGCGGAAAAGTAAAATTCAAAGACTTTTCAAGTAATTTCAAGGCCATGTAATTAGAAAATTCAAGGACTATAAAGAGTGCTGAACAGAAGGCGTTAAAAATCAGAGATCCCAAGGATAGTGCAAAGTTGATATGACAAATGATAATTAAGATTTATGTTGACTCGCATAATGATTAATGTATGAAATAGGATTGATGCATCTGCAAGGAAGTTGTTTGGCGTTTATTTTTATATATATATTTATATATATATATATATATATATATATATATATATATATATATATATATATATATATATATATATATATATATATATATATATATATATATATATATATATTTATTTTAAACGTAACTTTGCCGAAAACGTTCTGATAACTTAATATATTGCTGAACATTTTTAAATATTTCTATGTTATCATCTACACTTAAATTTGGTTCACCAAACAATAATAATTGTACTTTTTGAAAAGCCGACAAACGATTCCAGCCCCAACCGTACACTTGTGCAGCAACCGAGAGCAAGGACAACCTCAGAGCAGAATATCGGGGACACTCTAGCAAGTATAATGAGTAACAGATTCACAAGTCGCGCCGCACACACATACTGGAGATACAATACAATCTATTTTGAATAAATAATAATTTAAAGTACAAGGCGAAGACGAGTGTGCAAAATAGAAGAATATCTATCTATTGAATAATCAAAATATTTTGAATAACTTGAAATATCAAAGAAATTTTTAAGATACTGTTTAAAAACATTAATTGATAAATTATTACGTTCTACATAATCAATGCTATTCCAGAGCAAAGTTGTTGAAGGAAAAAAGGATGGCTTCATAGCACCGGTGACCACCTTCGCAGCTTCATACTGAACATGTTCTAAAAGATCACTTTCACTAATGGAGCAGCCGTCCCAAAGAACATCGGCATACTCCATTACAGGTCTAATAATACATTTGTACAATTTTGATAACGTCTCTCTACTTAATTTGAATTTCAGACCTTTTAAAAGGTTTGAAGCACTCTCATAAACATTAAAAATATGAGCCCTCCAAGAAAGATTAGAATAAAGAGTAACTCCCAAATGTTTATGGTTACTAACATTTTCTATTATTTTATTATTAAAATATATATTTGGATGAATTGGCTTTATTTGCTTTACAGAAAAGATTATGGATTTGGTTTTTCCCGGATTAATAGTAACCTGCCAGTCGTGTGTCCATGCATTAATACATGCAAGGTCATTATTAAGCTTAATTGCTGTAGAACTAGGATCATCGACTACATCAAACAGAGAAGTATCATCGGCATAAAGAAAATTGCTGCTTTGAAGATCACGCGTAATATTATTTATATAAATTAAAAAAAGCAAAGGGCCCAAAACGGAACCCTGAGGAACGCCGGCTTCAATTTGCATCCAGTCCGATGACTGACCATCTATTATGACACGCTGCTTTCTTTCTGATAAATAACTTTTAATCTATTTAAGAAGAGGATCTCCTACTCCCAAAGATTCTAACCTACGGAGCAATCCTTTGTGCCAAACTTTATCAAAGGCCTTACTAATATCCAGGAAAACCATCCGAACCTCTTTGCCTTCTTCAAGAGCCTCGTAAATTTTGTGTCGAATCTCGGGGTCGAATCTCCAGGTCGAAAACCAGATTGAAAAGGATTTAGGAAATGAATCTCAAGCAAAAAATTATATAGCCTAATAAATACTATTTTCTCGCAAACTTTCGACATGTATTAGTATGAAGCACGTGTATTTATGTTGCAGGGGGCCATTATCATATAATAACAAGCGCTTGAAATGCAACAGTAATTTGATTATAACATCTCTAAATGTTGGATAAGTAAGAACATCTATACCATCATAATATAAATATTTAACAAATATAAAACATTTTCCGTGTTGATATACAGTTATATCAACACGAGTGGAAATTGGGAAAACGAGAAATTGTGTGGAAACACGACTCCCGAAGAGCGGAGTGTTTTCACACAATTTCGAGTTTTCCCAACTTCCACGAGTGTTGATATAACTATATATCAATACGGAAAAGTGTTTTATATTTGTTTTATAATATAGCAATGTCAAAAGCCCGAAGAATAAGAACAATTTCCGTATTACAAGCGGCGGAAAATTTCCCGTGTTGACATGGAGTTATATCAACACGGCTCTTAGCCAATCAGAGTTCAGAATTTACAAATGCTATATTATAAAGATTGTTATAATCTACAAACAGCTATGAACGATTAATATAGTTGGCCGAACGTCGCGAAGCTCTAGAAAACGTGATAAAAAATCAATTGCAAGCTCCCCCGGGTTGTTTACTCTATCGATCGATCGGTCACTGAATTGAATTTAACCTCATAACAATAGTGCAAAGCAACTTTGCACTAAAAAGTGACGTTAAACCGTTTCAAAGCTTTGTAAGACGTGAATAAAATCCATTCAACAAAATGTCCGCTTTTAATTTCAAACAATTTGAGGGAATATCCAAAAACAAACGCAAGAAAATCTCTGCACTCAGGCGTGTTTGCCGGTTAGTTAGATGGGCATAATTATATGAACATGCTCTAAAACTTTAAAAATACAAGATTATTGGAATGAATAATGAAACTGATCAGAAAGGACATGGGTGTACCATTTTAGGGGTCAAAAAAATTTTCCGGACATACCAAAATTTTTCGTAACATCACACAAATTTTCCAAAAAAACACTACATTGGCCACAAAATTCACTAAATTTTCGACAAAATTTGTCCTGCCCAAAAAACGGGGGGCGGTAGGAAACCTTCTTCACAAACCTGATAGCCAAATATTTGAACTTTGTTGTACTCTTCAACCAAACATGTTGACCGCTTCACAAAATTTTCGCGTGATTTCTTGGTCCACCATTGGCGAAAATTTCCGTTCTCATCGAACTCACTTCCTGTTTGTGATGTTTATAGAATGGCTATAGCATGTATAGGTTATATAGTATCGTTCCGCGTGCAATTCGAAAAAAGTATGTACGAATAAGTTTTTCAAGAACAATCAAAGTCCTAAGGAAATTATATTTAAAATCTTTGAAAGATTTACGAATGTCCGTTTTTCCAAATTGCACGAGAAATTAAACCACACTACAACTTGTTAATACTGTATAATTAAGTGAAAACATTATTTGTATAGGTAATCATGCGATGGCGAGTACAATTATGAATTAATAGTACGAGTGATGTTTGGAAACTTTGCCAAAATTGGACGAGCCACCGGGGCGAGTCCAATTTGGCAAATTTCCAAACATCACGAGTACATTAATCCCTAATTGTACGAGCAACATCGCATGATTACTTGTTTATTATTAGCATGACAAAATTGGATACGTACTTCTCAATGTCAACATCATATTCTCTCGCCAAAGCCCAGTCCTGCCAGACATTCAACCAAAATTTGGTGCTTTTGTTTGTATTTTCATTTAGTTCTTTTAAGCAAAATTTGATGCTTTTGTTCGTATTTTCGTCTAGTTCCCCCACTGCAATTTCATTTCACCCTTGTGTTTAAAAATACCTTTCCGCCATTTTGTTTGTTTTGGGAAAATCATTAATTGTACTGCAGTACAATTAATGAAATAATTGTACTCCTCTCAACCAATCAGAATCCAGTAATTTTGTCATGCTAATAATAAAACAATTAATCGCCGAAGGCGAGTTGATTACAAGCCTATACTCACTGAGGCGAAGGCGAAATGAATATATATAGGATTGCAATCACCGAGCCTGAGGCGACTAACTGTTTTAGTATAATTTATTTCAGTATTGAAAAAGTTTTGTTAAAAAAAACTAATACACGTGTTATTTTATGAATATAATTTGTATAAATAATTTACTTCCGTCGTCTGATTTTCAGCCGTTTTGGGGGGTAATGCTTCACAAAGTTTAAAAGGGAAGCCAATCAAAATGCTCAAAGGCCTTTAGCAATACTGAAATTATATACTACACATAATTAGCAAATTCAGTGTCACTTGCATGCATGCATGCAACAAAATGCAAATAGATCGTTTACTCACTCGTTTGAATGGCACAACAACTTAATATAATACAAGTTTTCAACTATCAGCAGTCCAAACTTAAATCCAAATCTTTTTTGTTTTGGCGCTTAATTGTATCATCCTACCTAGATCGTCAAAGCCATGTGTAATTTCATGTCCTACGATCATACCAAGAGAACCATAATTCAACGCTCTGAAATGCACAAAAGCAATAATTATGAGCTGGCGCAGTCTTCTAGTGACGCACACAAAACCAAACAGAATCATTTACTTCAGCCTGTCGTCTTTGTAGAAAGGTGGTTGTAATATTCCTGCCATGATAGCTGCAGGATAAGCAATAAAAATTTGGTCAACACACATATGAAAAAATCCATGAAAATAAAATAAATGAAGTGGGCAGTCAGTTGATACGTAAGGTAAGCAAGGAGATAGGTAGGTAGGTACTGAATGATAGAAGGAGGGCGAAGAGCACGAAGAAAATAATTAGTAAGAGAATTTAGTTACAGGTAATGCTAGACTTACTCATCGCGTTTGCAGAAGGATCATAAAATGCATTGACTGTAAGAGGTGGCATCAAAAATCTGTATAGAAAATACAAAGATGACTTAAAAGAAGGTATTTCTACACATACGTTTCTACTTATTGGTATACTGAATTCCCTTACTGCACTGTTACAAGATAATTATAAGAATATTAAATTGCTTTAGGAATACAATGTTGAAATACTTACTTGAGTAATATACATTTATGATTACGTTCACCGTAATTGCTGTCTGACTTATGCCACTTTTAATATTCACATACTTAATTAACGGCTCAAAAGAGACATCCTACTTATAAGTGCTATGGTCGCTGGATGACTCCTTGCCGCTAATATTACTACCTCAAATAAATCAGTTTTGAGTTATGTACATATATATACTGTAGTTGCATTGTTACTGAATTATGTAAATGCTATTGGTTAAAAATTGAAATATTTTTATTGCATTGATTTATTATTGACTGAAGGACGCATCTGGCCTCATTTCCTAGAAGGGGTGGAGGTTTCCCAAAGGGGATGGAGAGGGGTGCATTACTAGGGCGTCCGAGGGCATGCTCCATTTCCCAGAGGGGATAGAGGGAGGTGCATTACTAGGGTGTCCGAGGGCATGATCATTATTGCATGATTTTAGATTCGCAAATGAAATCCATGCCTATAATACTAGAAATAGGGATTTACTCCGATTACTTTTAGCAAGAACGAAAAGTATCAAGGCTCCTTGCGATACAATGGACCAGAAACATGGAATTTGCTACCATCAAGTTTTAGAAATGAAACTTGTTTTTCAAAATTTAAGATAGATCCTAAGAAGTTTCTAAAGGCCTTCATTATACTTTATAATAATATTAGATTGTATGTAAATATTTGTGATATATGTTGTAATTTTGTAATTCTGTAATTTTGTTTGTAGCCAGGGCTCCGTTTAAACCAGCTATGCTGAATCGGACATCCCTGAATAAATATTTTCATCATCAACATTCTTGAAATTTGAAGCCCGGAAATGTTGTTTCCTGCATTCTGAGCACTAAATTTATCTGTCAAATTTGTCCTTTGTATTTCAGAAAAGAAAATATAATGTTCGACACCGGATGATGATCGTCTTAACCGGTGAAAAGGAAAAATTATTTTGTTGAAATCATCATGAAACAGCAACATATCAGCTTTTGCGACATGAGCACACATCTGCGCGGATACGCAGTGTATACTCCTAACATGCATGAAGTACGCAGTAATCGTATGCAATGTATAGCGCCTACTCGCAAATCAATCGTTTCAATATAATTAATAATAACTCAAAAAGTGGGAAATACCAAAGTTCTCTCTTCAAGGGGGCATTGGATAGCACTAAAGGTCGTTTTCCACTAGGCGCAATTTTCCGTGCGGAGCGGAATTTTTCCTTGTCTCGTGATTTCTCGGGTGGAACTAATTAGAAAAGACAAAGAGAAATTCCTCTCCGCGCGGAAAATTCTGCCTTGTGGAACACGGCCTTAAGCGGAGCTGGATAGCAATAGGGGGGAGGGGACGCACCCCCCTCCGGTAGTAGATCCGCCTAAGATTTATTGATTTATTTAGTGATGAAGTTATTGATCGATTTATTGATTGAAGTTAAAAAAGCGATACTCAATTCTGGAATAATTTGTTGTAAAGAAGGAAACTGTTCCCTGATCAGGGGTAGATCTAGCCTTGTCTGCAAGGAAGGGTGCAGGTTTTCCATGGGGTAGTGCATGAGGGAGCCTTACTGCCCATTATTTTCTGCAATCTGCAACGCTACTATCCTACGACTATATACTATACTACTATATTGAGATGGCCGAATCTGCATGTTCGCCGTTCTGTTATGTTTTACATAATCTTTTCTTCATAAAGTTTATATCGGCTTTTTACCACGCATGCGTGACCGGACAGTTGCTGTAGCACAGCACAGTAAATTTGTTTGTTAACGTACAGTATATTTGTAAATATGGCATAAATTTAACTAGAGCATTCCGAGTATTTTCTCTTGAGCTCACAAATTAATTAAATTGCTCCAAGAAATCGACAAGCACTAAAAATAGAAGTTCCGCTAATCATTATTCGAAAAGTAGAAACTATAGTCAAGCTTTTTTAGGGTGGTGCTGCACTTCTCTGGGGAGGGGGGGGGGGTAATAGAAACCACTAAGTGGGGGGCGCACCTCCCCCCTGCACCGCCACGGTAAATCCGCCCCTGTAATAATCATGTTGGTTTAGCAGACTCATCAACAATGAACACTATGAAAAAATCAATTACATTTCCTTTGGTTGGAATACCTGCTATTGTTTGGAGGTTTTCCCAATTCATTTATGTTCTTCAGAACTTGATCTTTCAAAGCACTTAGTGTATTTTGCAAAACACTATATTGATTGACCTGAACCTAAAACACATGATAGATAACATATTTAATCAGGGCCTCTTCCAACATATAGACTGGGGGGACATGCCAGCCATCTAACTGGCCCCGCGGCCTGCAGTCGGCAATTGAGAAAATGATGTTAAGGTGTTAACATTTCTGAATTCGACCATCATCTGCAGGCCTGTAACTAGCTATGGCCTGTAACCATTCAGTTGACTCGGTAGGAATTTGGGGACTGAAATTTAAACATCGTCAGAAACCTAAACCATCGGACTGACATAATTTACTCGTGGAACAAGGCATGAAATGGCATTTTAGGACGAAATTCTAGTTTAGCTTTTCCAAGTAAAGATACTCCAAAGAGACCACCCTATCTTGCTCTTCAGTGACACTGAGAAGACGAAGGCGTAGATTTCAAAGTACCCCAATACATGTAATACATGCAGTACAGTAGAATTTAAAGTGTGGTGAATGATAATACTATACCACGCACATTTCCATTACAGCATCATCACACCATGCTGCCTTATTGGGACTGGATTACATTTGGAAGACTGTGAAATTGCACTTATTACAGTAACTGTGTCACTGTTTATAAGGTTAATTTCTTGTTGAAAAATTCCTCAAAATGCTGGAAATAGCTTATCTGAGCTTCAATAAATCCAAACTTTTCTGGGGGACATCGGTGGTCGACTCGGTTGTCTCAGAATCCTAGTTACGGCCTGATCTGCTGCCCTATGACGTATACTTATTACTTCAACCATGCATATATATGCTGGTAGCTGCAGTGATACAGACGTGCAGACTGGAACTTCTCGAGGTCCCCCGCTAAATATGTCCCCCTCCAGTTACACGTCCTTAAAAGAGGCCCTGTATTTAATTCTGACTTGTTTTCTCTATCCGGACATCGTACATTGTATAGTACAACGTACATATCGGATGCGAGACTAAAGATTAAAAACTTACATTTTCATAAAATTTGTTCAGCTTGACAGGATTCTTAATAAACGATGGAAAACCAATCCATTCCTTCATTTTCTTTAGCTGGTTATACGTAAAAAGTAATCACTATTATATAATAAAATAAGTAGACCATCTGCTCAAGGGCGCCTGGAGGGGGGCGCTTCCTGCCACTATTTGGGGTAAGGGTGATAAATATATAAACACCCTCCACCTTTTACCATACTTTGCCATGATTAATACTTGTTGAGTTGTGGTGGACTGACATCATTTTGCGATTGAAATTCTTAATTTCTTTAAAAAAACAAATCTTCTGAATGGATATAACCTCTAAAAACACCTATCCCACAGCATTTCAAAGTTTCAATTGAAAAATAAAAATTATACGTTTTGCCCCAAGAAATCGTGTGAAAATACCATAACATTGAAGGGGGGCACATGCCTCCAGTCCACCGGCCGGCTCCCCCCTCCCCCCCACACACACACACACTTTCTGGAATGAGTTGTCACCATGCATTTTCTCTTTTCATTTCTGAAGCCGCGTACTTTCTTGCCATTCGTGTCACTGACCTTAAGGCGAGCCTGAGCGCGCGTTGCATTGTCCATCCATGTTTGTTCTTCCAAGCCATCAATGAATTCACTTTTTATCTCTCTAAACATTTCCGCTGCCTATAAAGATTTATTATATAAACATAAGTGTTATATAGAGTTTTTGGCCACTGAGAAAAATCGTATTTAAACACACGTAAAAATACGATAGTTTTACGTGTGAAAATATCATTTGTACATGTTGTAAAACGCATTGCCACGAACGTTTTGTTGTTTTTCACTGAATTTTGAACAGAAAAATACATGGGTACTTGGAAATACCAGATTTAATTCTCGTGTTAAATCTGGTATTTCCAAGCACCCATGTATTATTCTCTATGTATTAAATGAAGTTACAGTGAAACGGTGTTACATGCACTATTGTTATATAGCTAGTGTGAACACCGAACGTGATTGGCTGATTTGTAGTCACGTGGCTTTAGATAAATGCAATGTATCCCGCCCGGGCAATAAGTGAAAAATTGTTGCCTGCCCCGACCGGCTACGTACATAAATAAACAAAATGGCTGCACAAGTTTATACTATTTAAACTACTGTTTTCGTGGCTTTGTGTTAGAATAAAGAATGTAAAAGAGAAGAAAAATACATAACAGGCAACAGGATATGCTGCTGAAACCATTTAAGTAGGTTTTTTAAATTTTAAACTCGTTTACGCTATAGAGTTTTTGTCATGAAATACAAATATTGTTGTATGAATGTTGTTCAATGTTGATAATATTTGTTTCGTCGCTATATAACAAAACACTTAACGTCTTTTCCCTCGGGAAATAGTTAGTTTTGTTTTCCCTCGAATCTCAATGTTTCCCTCGACTTCGTCTCGGAAAACATTGAGATTCTCGGGAAAACAAAACTATTTCCCTCGGGTGCAGACATTAAGTGTATATTATTAGACCAAACCAAGAGCAGTTACGTATGGGTAAATATCAGGATTTTGGGCATCTCATTCGATAGAATTAAATCCCTTCAATAATTAGAGGGTATGGTAATTACTGGAAAGACCACATTCAATACGGTGGAAATGAAGGCAAGTTATTAAGAATTTTTGCAACGTTTCGCGGGCAGTAAAGCTGCCGTCTTCAGGCTAATAAACCACAAAAATGACTACAAAAAGTTTTAGAACGAAAATTAAATTTACCCAATCCTTATGGTCAATAGTATTATTTTCGTAAATTTACTGTTTTGTATTCATTGTATCCATAAATTATTCTGTTTGAAAAATGTTCTTATGTCACTGACTTAGCAGATAATACTTAGCAAATAATCATTTTATTATATGCAACGTTTTGGAACTTCGCGCGCGCTCGATCTCGTCGCTTCGCGACTCGGATTCTAGAGAGACGGACTTGATCCAAGTCTACGTTTTAGAGTAAACATCATCTTCCGATTTAAAAAAGGACACGATACATAAAATATGCTTGATTTATATCGCACCATTTTTTTAACCTGAACTGAGTTATACCCCACTTTGTCTTTACTCTGCCCATTGCCCGAGAAAAACTGATATAAATATATTGGCCAGACATTTGTCGCTCCAACGACATTTAATTAATTGCAGGCCTGCATGTCGGTAAAAACTCCTATACTACAATTATAAACAAATGGATTCCACCGACATATAATAAAATATAATCTTACCGCTTTAATCCTGGCAGCTTCTGACAAGTTTTCATTCACAAACAGTAGTGCTGTAGCATATGCAAAATAACTGTCGGTCAAACGAGTACATGTCTTCCATCTGGAAGCAGTTCTTTTTATACTTGCAAAACTTTGAATATATTTCTCTTGTGCTTCTCTAAATGCCTCAGGTAGAGCATTGATTAAGGTTCGAATAACATTCCAAATTATTTCGTTCGCTAATAAACTAAAATGAAGGGGGGGAATAATACAGTGGGGTATACGACACTAGGAGAGGGTTGGCAGGGGATGGGAGACTACTATTCTCTTAATGTCTCAAAAACATTTTTCAATTTTTCACCTTTACAGATGCGGTTGATATATCCAATTAACCAATCAGATGCCTACTAAGCCAGTGAGAGGCAGTGGTAGCGGTAATGGAAGTCAAATCTGAACCTCTATAATTTGAACCTTTGTAACGCCAAATCTTTTATTTCTAAATTCAGAACATTTCGACAACAAAGCAAGTTGAGTATACGAGTATTGAATGGCAATTGCTTACCTCTTGGGTTTGTCTACAAGCCAGAGAACAATGTTCTTGACAGCATCAGGAAGAACTATCATCACTTTTTGGTCAGATGCCGGAACTGATTTATTTGTGCCATGAAGTACTTCCTCAAAATACATTGTCCAATTAAACTGGAAAAGTTGGAAATGGTACAGTAAGGTACGCAAGTTAGCTTAGGGGGTGCTTTTATATGAGGTAAAGTAAAGTATGGGGTGGTATGATATGTAGCTTGGTATAGTATATGGCATGATATAGTATGGTATGGTATGGTATATATGGTATGGTACGGTACAGTATGGTATGCAGTATGGTATGCATTTTGGTATGCAGTATGGTATGCAGTATGGTATGCAGTATGGTATGCAGTATGGTATGCAGTATCGTATAGTATATAAATAATGAATGTTTGTGAGTGCAATGGTAAAAATATTTTCATGAGGTGAAAGATGGAATTTTCCAAAACAAATACATACCCGAGTTGCATGTACAATGTTAAAATTACTAGAAAACCAACAAACATGTCCAAAAAAATGTTTGCGTGAAGAGTTAATGTAATAAATAGAGAATAATACATGGGTGCGCGGAAATACCAGATTTATTTTGAGTGTTGAGCATGATATCTCACGAGTGAGCGCAGCGAACGAGTGAGATATCATGTTCAACAAGAGAAAGAAATCTGGTATTTCCAAGCATCCATGTATTTTTCTGTTTATTATATAAACAAAATTAAGTGAAAAACAACAAAACGTCCGTGGCAATGCGTTTTACAACGAATGATATTTTCACACGTAAAAATATCGTATTTTTTACGTGTGTTTACATACGATTTTTCTCAGTGGCCAAAAACTCTATATAACACTTATGTTGATATAATAATGGCATTTATTTAACTTAACATTGTCGTAAAAAGTAATATTTTAGTGACTTTTTCACCCGCCATTTTGCTTCGCACAAATTATGCATTTGAATTTCAATTCCATCAGCCTCATTATGAACATTTGATGCATTTGAATTTCAATTCCATCAGCCTCATTATGAACATTTGGGCTACATGAGCTACGATTAGGATACGATTAAGATTCGGACGGATGGAATTTAATGAAAACCCAAGCGTGCAATTGGACAAACCGTATGCTACAAAAATGCACGACTGAGCGTGCAATAGAACGCGTTCGACAAAATGGTAATTTTTAAATCGTACCTTGAACGACGTGAAATTATTCAACTCGTTGACTGTCATAAATTTCACATTCTTTCTAAGCTTTTTTACGTCATATGGGTTAAAAATGCGATGTACCTACAAAATGGATAACTTAGCTTTAGTATCACGTGTTCTACTTGAGAAAGTATTTCTTCTGATTTTACTCTCTCCAATAAACCATTCCCTTTTCAGGGGAAGATATTTATTCAAGTCCAATCATAAAATAACATTTATAGTACGCGAGCATTGATTGGTCGATTGGGGTGTTTCTATAACTGTATGGAAACACGGGAAATTTCTCATCTCGCAGCAGGGGCGGATCCACCACCAATAACAAACCCATTTTCACCATTAGCGCAAACTCCTAGGCAAACTACAAGAATCAATACTTTCGAAAAAACAAGCGCGCTCTTCTTTAGTGGTTTATACTTATACAACACGGATTTTCTGAAGCTGTATTACTTCCATAGTCTCACCAGCCTAACGCTCCGTGGAAGCTACTCTGCTGGTAGCATACGTGTTAATAAGCTAAAAATCAATTTTGGGGTTAGGGGCACTTTAATAATTCTCATTCTAACTATTAAAAATAGGTTAGTACATGCTTTAAAATCAATTTCCGAATACATCTAATATATATATTTTTTAAAATCTCATTAATAATGCAGGAAGAAAATTCAATATGTTTAATCAATGTTTGTAAATCGGATAAAGATTTGTCCTGATTTACATAAACTTCAGCTTTGATTTTCTCGGCTTAGACAATGTTTATTTTTAAAATTACTTCGTCAATGAACTCATAAGATGGGACGTTTTTTAAGTACGTTATTCGCATCCGATCTTTATCTAATATACAAACTCTCGCCACCTTCGGCTCGAGTTTGTATATCAGATAAAGATCGGCTGCTCATGTTTTAACTAGTACATAAAAATGGTATTATAATATTTCCGACCCTTTCTGGATGGCCCAATAACAGAAAATCGCGCGCTTTTTAATTTTGACAAGTTTTATTTTGTTTCCGTGATATTTCAGTAGTTTTTAATTTTTACGATTTTAATTTTATTCATTGTAGGTACTTGAGTGAAAAGTTTAACTGTCCTTAGTATGCTCTAAGATGAAAAAAAGATATGCAAGAAATAATCCATACACTCCTAAAACCTCCTTCCAAATCAACAATGCGATTCACTTCTTCGTCTACAGTGGAGTTAGAACCAAGCAGCTTAAACACAGTGGACATTAACTTCTTGTAATCTTTGTAGATATCAAAATCCTATAAAAAAAGGAAATAGGTCTGCTAAAGCCATGCACTATATAATTATACTGGGGATGTGCAGGGATACTAGTTGAGTAGCTGGGATACTGTTTTGCAAGACACCTGATGATACCGGATAGTGGTCTATGGTATACAGCTCATGGGAAAATGGTAACTGGATTTGGGATAACTGGATGCCAATGGTGGCTCTTGGACAATACCCAGCCGCTAACCTGACAACAACATACACTTGCTGTATTAGAGAGATTCTGCACAGGGTATCCGTAACCCCGTAACCGCCGCCACGCATTCGTAATCGCAAAGCAGTGCAAAACACTAGCAATGTTATCGCCATTTTCCTAGCCAGTACACTTACGAAAGGCACTCGCCCCCCTGAACGTCTAAGCCAAGGGGACCATTGTGAAATTTTTGGAGGGTGTCGGCCTGCGTGTGCAGGGTCAGCCCTCCATGTAGGGACCGTGTAAACACCCCCTAATAATAGCATTTCAAAGATGAACATACGTACCTCAACTTCTGAATGTTTTTCCGAGTGCCTTGGACGTGATTTTTTTTTATCCACTAGTCTCTCGTCATAACCAGAATTTCCCCCACTGATCTACATATGGTGTTAAAAACTGTAGTCATTACGTGTGTTCCGATTGGACAATAAAGCTTACAGCTAAATATGGAAATCAAGATAACAGTGTTATCTGGTAGCAGATAACAAGGTCGACTGTAGGTTGAGCCAGCGGTATATAATATGCAAGAAACATCAACATGAACGCACGACGTTTTTTATTTTTTCACATTTTTATCGGAACCTTAGTAGGTAAATGAGTCAGTTTTCTGATACTGTACATGACTCATGAGTGCTGTTTTTGTGATATTTTAATTTGTTTGCAGTCCTTGTTTGAGATTGAAACGTTGTTTTGTGCCGCAATTCACTGATTGTTTGTCGAAGGTGTTTAATGAAAATACAATGTGCAATAAAACAGTTTATTAGGGACCGATCATAAAGTAATTACTAGAGGAAGGTGGAGGAATCCACATATTTCCTTAGCCTACGTGTCGTCTTTCGTCCTTCTTTCTGTCTTTCCAACTTCTTTCCATTTAAGGACAAAATTCCCTGTAAACTGAGATCCCATGTTGTGTATTTATATAAGTGCCAATGCTGTGGTGCATTGTATGTTGGTCAAACTCGCCGACACATACACACGCGTATCTCTGAACACATGGGTGTTTCACCTTTGATTGGAAAGAAACGTTCTGTTTCAACCATGTCAGGCATACTCGCTCATATCCATACCACTAAACATCAAATTTCACCCTCTGATTTTAAAATCCTTTCCATTGCTACTTCTAAAGCGGATTTACTCATTCTCGAAAGCCTTTTCATTTCCAAGCTTAATCCTATTTTAAATGCCAACATTAGGTCAACTCCTCTTGACCTATTCTAATGCTTTGCTGAGGCGCTTTCCATTAACACGGCCAGACCGGTCACAATGGTCAAAATGTTGAATGGAACACAAAACATTTGGGCTTCGGACCTATCTGACAGGAAAATCTAGATAACATTAGAGTGAGGTCCATTTTCGCTAGATATTTGAGAAACATAGACCAGATCTTTCCATTGATACAGAGAAAATAATTTGGGTCTGACTGGTCAGGCCATTAAATGGAAAGCGCCCTAGGTCTCTAATTACTAACCATTATATCTTTAATTTACTAATATTTTTAATGATAGGTTGTTTTTCATCCCTTCCTCTTACTCGCGTATTTGAATAATGTAACCGTTTAAAAATTTGTATAATACATAATTATATAATACACGCTTGTAAATAAGTTTAATTGCTCTGAAGATGTTGTGAACAATACAACGAAACGTTAGCCAATAAATTTTAATATTTTATATTTTTGTTATGTCTTGTCTGAAAGTCATTTGCTGGACTTTAATTTTCATTTTTAATTCATATATTACAATAAAAATTTCAAGTTTATTGTCAAAAATTTCAATTACCCGAGGCATAAACGATTATTTATGTCTTTCAGTTCTTGACATATACAGCTAATACAGGTAGGCCGTAGGATGAGCATCCAAAAGATGCTTAATAGAAAACGGATTCCGTTGCACCCCTCCTGGAACTACATAATTTTCACATAAATCAATAGATAAAAACTTACTTTATCAGAATCCGTTGCTCCCCAAGCGAAACAGGTGCACAATTGCGAAAATAATCCCTATAAAGTTCGCTATTTTCCCACTTCGAAATATTCGAACCGCCATTGTTTTGGTAGCAAATACGCATGCGCAAGTCAGCCAAACTCGCACTGCGTACGCGCAGACGCGAAAAATGGATTTTCCCTGTGGGTTTTCCCCGATTTCCCCCATAAAAACAAAAGGGTAAAATCACGGAATAAAGATCAAACCTTGTGATATTAACGAATAAATATACACACACATTAAATATTGTTTAAAATACATTGTACATTTTGCTTGCTCATATGCTAAATCACTTCAATTCATTAGCTATTGTTTCAAAATACCGTTTTAACGTTTAATTCTACTTATTAACATCCTAATGCAATACAAATTTGTGTATCAAACAGGATGGAGAATTCACACGATCAAGGAACAAATTAACTATTTCGCTAAACTATAGCCTTGGCCAAACGCAAGAAACATTGTTGCGGAAGTATTCGCGATGTTCAATGTTTGCTCAAACGGTTCCCCATAGGCGTATCGGCCGGGAGGGAGGGGGCATGTAGCCTGCTCACAGACGTTGTAGTTCTTACGCCAAGCGACGAAATACTACCGTCTGCTTACCCGAGCTGCATATTCAATTCCCTTTGTTTTAGGAGCCAATCATCTGGCAGTGTTCAAAAAAGTTAGAGCCAATTGGAAGCCGCCTTATTGAAAGATTAGCTACTGGGGAAAGCCCTTGCACATGCATCGGAATATATTGTTTGGGTGAAACTTGAAATTTGTTTACTTGCGTGGATATATTTTGGAAACTATAGCGTTGAACTTCACGATGTTTACGTAGAATAATATTGTGATCATCTTCTCGCATGTTCAGCAAACAATCGGTGTATATAAAGTGCTAAAGCAATGCAGTAGGCGAAATTTAAATTTTTGTAACAATGACAAACAATCAATCGGGACTTGTGTATATCAGAATATGTCCAAATGTTGCTCTTGATACTTCCTATATGCCATGACTTCGACGAAAACTTCTAAAAGATTAAGCTCTCATTGTCATGTAGAAAAGTATAGCCAAGAGTTTAATAGAGTATAAACGTTTCGAAGTTTGAGCGAATTGGAAAACTCATCACGGCGCAATTTTAATACAAGTTTCTCGGGTTTGTGTTGTGTTTACAGTTTACATTCAGAAGTGGTTGCTCAAACAGCAAATTAGTTTACTTTGAAGCTAATATTTCGCTTTCTAAGCCACAGTATTATATAAAATTTTCTGTCTTCCGATAAACAAAGGATAAACCGTCAAAATTTCAGCGAAATATATTCGGCATTTGATGCCTGTCTGGCTAAGATTCATACAGTATTATTAATATTAAATAATATGCCAATCCTGTCCGCGTTTTAAATATAATCTGATCATTAATGGTGCATTTATTACCTGGACAAGTATCAGTATCTTTAAATTCAATTTATGTGCAATTTTGACCAAAATTCAACCGACGACTGCTTTCAAAATATATATTTATATTTATTCCGCTCCTAAATCAACTGACGTCACTTTCCAGAATTTGGAAGGTAAATTCTGATTGGTCGACGTAGCGGAATTCAGTTTGGCGCTCGGGTAAGCAAACGGTAGTATTTCGTCGCTTGGCGTAAGAACTACAACGTCTGTGAGCAGGCTAGGGGGCATGTGCCTCCCCCTCAAAAAAAAAAAAATATGGTCGGGCAAAGTTGATAAGAACCGCGGTCTACAATGAATAATTAAACATAATAATGCCAATATTAATTGCTTTTAATATACCTTGCCATATAAAAAGAACACCTGGCTGTATATAGCCTGCGTAGCAGGCGCTATTTAGGGGGGAGGGCGAGGGTGGGAGAAGCTAGGAGGGGGATGCGAAGGCGAGAGAAAGAGAGCGAGTGTATATGAATGATGATGGCTTATGGCAAAGATTATGAAGTTAGTTATATAGTTAGCATAAATTTTGTAGCAAATTTGGATGCTCAGAATGCAGGAAATTGCATTTCCGGGCTTCAAATTTCATTTTCTGTGGTACTATGCCCCCAGACCCCCCTGACAGAAAGGTCACTTTTCAAAAAATGCCCCCCCCCCACGGGAAAATTCTTAAAAAAGGCCCTGATAAAATCTCGAACAAAGTTGTAGATGTGTACTGTGTAAGCAAAGCAGTCGGGCAAACTAATACTGCCCCCCGAAAGATTAGGCCCATGTGGTTCCTTGTCTCCCACATCTGGAAACATTGGCTTTTATTGCAGAAACAAAATTTGCTTCCCGGAAAGCGAAAATAATAACTATATTTGCTACCAAATTCAGAAACATTTGATGAAACACTCTCACCGTTTGCCGACGCTGGTAAGACAATATGACATACAGAAATATTGGTAAGACAAATAATATGACAAATATCTTTGACTTTGCGCAACAATGTTTCCCGGTTTGTCCCGGGCATTAAGGGATATTTATATAAATTCCTACGAAAACCTCTGATTGAATTTTTATTTTAATGTATTATCGAATAACTATGCAAGATATGTTTGGCGCTTCTTAAATTGAGCGTTCCATCCATCGCGTAAGTATATTCTATAGATCAATCTTAAACTTTTCCATTCGTTCCAACCATCTTTTCCAACCATCTGTCCCAACCGACGAAGCCGGACCAGTGAAGGACCTTTAACTGTGAAAGAAACATGTCCCAAGCTCCAACTCGAAATTCATTATAACTCGGAATTCAATTGGGAGGAAATATAAAATCCACAATTTCATCATAACTATCTATAATTGAAAGACATGTTTTCATCCACCTTTCCATATGCGGCATATTGATGATGTACGATTTGTATGAAGTAAAACAACGTCATTCGTGCATGGCATGGTGTTCAATCAGCGAGTTGGGTTGGGAAGTAAACGAAAGGCAAGTCAATATCAGATGGAAGCCGGCAACTCCTGATGGAAATTTGGAAAACGTTACTGTGGTTGTAAGTCTGGATATTCACCAAGACGTTGTGCCTGTTAAAAAGCCGAGAATAGAAGTGTACTGGTCTTTGTTCCAGTTGCGATTGCATAAATTCTCCCGACCAGAATACAGACGAGAACGATTTCTCAGATGATGACCTATTATTCGAACTTGATGGCGATGACACTGGATTTGATGGCATATTTGAAGAACAATGATGGTAATGCACTTAGGTATTATCTGCGCAGTGCAGCAGATCAGTATTTGGTCATGGTTGAGAAGCTGAAACGCACCCTAGCGGAGGAGCTGAAACGCATCCTGGCGCCGCCGCAGCAGCAAATCTATAAGAAAAAGTCAACAAGTATGGGCACGAAAAACCAGGTTGAATCGTTCCTCGTTTTTCTAGATAGTGGCCAAATACCAACCTATGTCAGAATATAATATATGTAATAGTTAAATACGAGAAGTAGAACTTTACCAGACAAAAGCCAGAACAGCTTATTGTGGAATACATGCAATCTCGTTTTGAGCGTAGGCTGGTAGACCCTAAGCCAGGATCCAATAAGTGGGATGATCTTGCACTGATGAAAATCTGGGCTCAAGGATGAAAAACAGGTCTTTCAATTATAGATAGTTATGATGAAATTATGGATTTTATATTTCCTCCCAATTTATCTTTTTTTTATGATGAATTTCGAGTTGATGCCTGGGACATGTTTCTTCCACAGTTAAAGGTCCTTCACTGGTGCAGTCCGGCTTCGTTGGTTGGAACAGATGGTTGGAAAACATGGTGGGAACGAATGGAAAAGTTGGTCCAAATCCAAGATTGGTATCCATAGAATATACTTAAGCGATGGATGGAACGCACAATTTAAGAAGCGCCAAACATATCTTGCAATAGCCTGGGACGTCAGAGGGGGAGCCCCGCGCCCCCACTTTTTAGTTTGGGGGGCCTAAATGTCTTTGCCCCTCCCCCCTCCCATTTTTTATTGATATTATTTCAGTTATACGCGTGTAGACAAAACAATTTGAGATATTTTATGACATTTTGTTACCTTTAGAACTCTGTAAATCTCCTTCTAAAGTGCAGGAAATGGCATTTCAGAGACTCTATAGTTTCAAAATTTTTCAGGAGGGGCATGCCCCCAGATCCCCCTAGAATGTCACTAAGTGTGCGCTAGGGCAAAGTGTGCGTTAGGGCGAAGTGTGCCCGCCCACTTTTAGAGCCGCTCCAACGCCCCTGATGATTCATTAAAGATTCAATCAGAGGTTTTCCTAGGAGTTTATATAAATATCCCTTAATGCCCGGGACAAACTGGGAAATATTGTTGCGCAAAGATATTTGTCATATTATTTGTCTTACTAATGTTTCGGTATTTTATATTGTCTTACCAGCGTCGGCAAACAGAGAAAGAGTGTTTCATCAAATGTTTCTAATTTGGTAGGAAATATTTTTGTTTTCCAGGAAGCAAATTTTGTTTCTGCCATTAAAGCCAATGTTTCCAGATGTGGGAGACAGGGAAACATTTGAGCAAACATTGACAATCACGAATATTTCCGCGACAATGTTTCTTACGTTTGTTTCTTTAGCGAAATATTTAAATTTGTTCCTTGATCGTGTGAATCGTATGTATATTTATATATTCTCCGTCATGTTTGATACAGGTGGGTTTTTTTTACCTCACACAAATTTGTATTGAATTAGGATGTTAATAAGTAGAACTAAAGGTTAAAACGGTATTCTGAAACAATAGCCAATGAATTGAAGTGATTTAGCACATGAGCAAGCGAAATGTATAATGTATTTTAAACAATATTTAGTGTGTGTGTATTTATTCGTAATTAATATCACAAGTTTTGATCTTTATTCCGTGATTTTATTTTGTTGTTTTTACGGGGGAAATCGAGGAAAACCCACAGGGAAAATCCATTTTTCGCGTTTGCGCGTGCGAGTTTGGCTGACTTGCGCATGCGTATTTGCTACCAAAACAATGGCGGTTCGAATATTTCGAAGCGGGAAAATAGCGAACTTTGGAGAGATTATTTTCGCAATTGTGCACCTGTTTCGCTTGGGGAGCAACGGATTCTGATAAAGTAAGTTTTTATCTATTGATTCATGTGGTGCAACGGAATTGCATCTTTTGGATGCTCATACGGCCTAAGGTAATGTTACCTACATTAGCACTATTTTCGTAAATTCTATAGTAGAATAGTCATGTTTTAAAGTTTATTGTTAAAATTTCAATTGCCCGAGGCATAAAGGATTATTTATGTCTTTTAGTTCTAGATGATGTTACCTACATTACGTCACTATTTTCTTTAATTCTGGTAGAATAGTCATGTTTATGTGGACAGGGACAAAGTGGTGACAGGGATGATTTGTATCACGAATAATTATGGTAATGCTTGTAAATCAAGTGGCGAAGTTAATGAATAATGAATTATATTTAAAAATAATAATTACTGTATGTGTGTAATAGTAATAAACATTGAAATCTCTCAACGCAGAAGAAAATATTTACTGCAGAATCTTGAAGTAAATCTCTACCACAGGTCAAAATGCATATGGCATACCGTAGAGCAGCTGCCACCATCTACGGCAATTTTTCCCGTGGGGAGGTTTTCGGGAAATTCCAGGCCTGTGCACATCAGGCCTGGAATTTCCCTGAAATCAATCGACGGCACTGACGTTAAAAATTGCCGTCGAACGTAACAGCTGCCTACGGCAATTTTGACAGTTTCCACGGCATTTTTCAAACTACTATAATAAAACTTTAATTTTATTGTTACTTTGGATTTTGGACAAGCTAGAAACATGTCTACGTATTTCTTTAGTGTTTTTTTTTCCGAAGAAAACTCAGACTAATAGTGATTTACGCATGATTTGATCAACATCTGAAGAGTATAAAAATTGCACTATACGGCAAAAAATTGCCGTCGTTGCCGCAATGATCCACGGCATTTTGTTCTCTCTCTACGGCAATTGCCGCGATAAAATTCGAGCCCTGGTGCACATGACTGGATCAATTACGTAGGTATTACGTGGTGGGGCAGGACAATAACGGCTTCGCTTACTAATGGGTGTTCCCGATGCAGCTCTTCAACTTACCGTGACAAAAATTTCAGATGTGTTAAAGAAAGATGGTTTTATATCCAAAGCTAGAAACGCTGGAGTTTTAAGATCAACCAACACCCTTGCAAGAATTTTTTCCAATATCCAAGAATCTCCATTCCAGTTCTTGTTTGTGATATTCCATGAGCCATATTTTTCTATCACATCAAGAACTGGTTTATTCCCATAATTTTTAATAGAACTCTCATCCATACAGGACTTGTAGTACGTAAAAGCTTTGTAGACAGCTGAACCCTAAACACATTGGATTCGTTAGAGATTGGGATTTTATATTATATTAGGGCAGTCGCGAACACTTCACGAAATATTGGGGAAGGGGGATTTTAAAGATGTATGCTATGTTTCGGTTTAGGCTCTAAATGCAAATTATGCAAATCTTTCAGAACATGGGTTACTTGATGAAATGAATAAGGAGTCCCGAGTTGTGCCATTTGACTGACATTACATACTTTTTCTACGATGATCAATTAATCATGTGTGATAAACATTTAAATTAAATTTAATTTATGTTGACTTAATTTATGCCAACCAATAGCAGAACTGTTGCTATAGAAACAAAGGTAATTCGATTCATAGCTTGAACACGATACGATTTTATAGCTCGAACACAATACGATTTATAGCTCTTTGTATAGAGTTTTACGTTGATATTTTATACCAAATGTTCAAGAAATTATAAAAATAAATACGATATTCAATACATGGCGCCCAACGTGAAAAAGCTCGTTCAGTGTAACGATTAAAACAACGATTAAAGCCGAGGAATAAACGTGATTGCAACGAAAATTATCGACAGACGAGAAGCATTGTATATACAAGCATTGTTTATTACTGTTAAAAATCCCAAGCTGTACAAGTGACAAGTTAGACACTCTCAGGTTAGTTTACGATAAGACAAGCGTGCATACAAGGGGATTAGCAACTCTGGGTATTTCTGCTGATCAATATGGCAGTCACAACACTCTACTGAGACGGCACTCTTAGGTTCGACAAATGAGTGGTTATATAACATGGACAGTGGCTTAATCAATGGAGTCCTGTTCTTGGACTTGAAAAAAGCTTTTGACACTGTCGACCATGAAATCTTATTAAAGAAACTTCACCTATACGGCATAAAAGGAACTACTTACGCATGGTTTGAATCTTACATCCAAAATAGAAAATCGATTTGTTTAATGAATGGGAAAAAATCACATGCTAAAGAAATTAGGTGTGGGGTACCACAAGGTTCTAACCTTGGCCCCATCCTATTCCTCTTGTATATTAACGATCTACCTAAGTGTCTAGAAACAACCAAGGCCAACTTGTTTGCTGATGACACAAATCTTTCGTGTGCCGGCTTAGATGCCAATGAAATCGAGACTAAACTTAAAAGAGATCTTGAGAATGTTCATAGTTGGCTTAGATGTAACAAACTCACGCTAAACGATAGCAAAACGGAATTTATAATAATTGGCTCTAGACATCATCTTACTAAATTTGAAGACAACCCAGAGATTTCATTAGCCATACGAGATAATAATATTAAACGGGTCACCAACAAAAAATCTCTTGGTTTTATCATCAACGATCAATTAAAGTGGGGTATACACATTGACGCACAATTGTAAAAAAAATCTCAAAGTATTGCATTACTAAAAAGAGCCAAGTCCTTTGTTCCTTTACACATTCTAATAAAAATGTATAATGCTCTAGTATCTCCTCACCTGACATATTGCTCAACAATATGGAATGATGGATCTAATACCATTCTTAACAAACTCTCTAAGTTACAAAGAAGAGCAGCTCGGGTTATCACAGGACAATCATACGATGTTCGTTCCACTCAAATACTAGAAAGTCTCAATTGGATGCCAATTGAAGACATTTTAAAGAAAAGAGAAATCATTATAACGTTTAAAGCTTTAACTAACAGACTACCTGATTATGTGCAGAATTTCTTCACGAGATGCGAAAATAGTAATTATTCTCTAAGAAGCAATAATGTTAAACTATCTTTGCCTAAACCAAGAACTTACTTTCTTAAAAGAAGTTTCTCTTGTAGAGCAGCACAAGGGTGGAACGAATTATCGGATGAAGTAACTAATAACATTCAGGATTTATCTTTACCCGATTTCAAACGGCGTTTAACCCTTAAGCTTGCACATGAATAATGTATAATTATGTGCTGTAATTAACTGTAAATATCCATAGTTAATGTGTGTTTAATACTATATAGCACGGCCCTTCGAAAAACAGACTGTATATATTAGACAGATTTAGATCGAGGACGCGGACGTCAAAGACGACGTGAAAATGGCGTCAAAATGGCGTGGCATGTCCATACATGGGCACGACACGCCATTTTCACGTCGTCTTTGACGTCCGCGTCCTCGATCTAAATCTATCTATTATACTGAATACGCTACCGTGTTAAAAGAAATTTTATTAAAGATTAAAAATTAAGTTTGTTAATTCCTGTGATCATGTCTAAGTTGCCAAATGAAATTCGTCTTCAAATTGCGCGAAACTCAACACAAGATGTATGGAAAATTGACGAACTCTTAAATATTATTAAGAAAGAAGTAGAAGCAAGAGAGGCGTCTGAAAGAATCAAAGCTGATGACCACATACGACAACAGGGTAGTAAATGGCAGGGACATAAACCGACTGCCGGATCCTTCCTATCGAAAGACGACCAGAATTAAACTGTTCGCTGAGCTTATTGTAAGGAACTTCATTATTCCGCATCCTGCACAAAGGTTACTGATCCAGAAAAGCGACAAAATATTCTTCGGAATACCAATCGATGTTTTAACTGTCCTAGAATTGGTCATCGCGTTTCTAATTGTCAAAGCTCCAAGGGTTGTAGACATTGCAAGCAAAAACACCACCAATCCATTTGTAACACCTTGAAATCCCCAATCCCTGACAACAAGTCCGACCGCAACAAAACAACAGAGGAATCAAAGGGAACCACAACTACAAGTAACGTGCGAAGCAAGGGAACAGTGCTTCTTCAAACAGCGAGAACTACAGCAACTAATTCCAATGGAACAAGATCAGCAAAAGTAAGAGTCCTTTTCGACAGCGGAAGCCAGCGAAAATATATCAGCAACAGCCTCAAAACAAGATTAAACCTCAAACCTGTCAAGAATGAAACACTAAACTTAAATACGTTTGGTAATTCCAAATTTCGCAAGCAAAATTGTGACTTGGTTGAATTTAATCTCGAAGGCAAAGATCATGGCAAATTAACAATAAAGGCTCTCAGTTTTCCAGTAATTTGCTCATCTCTATCCACTCGAGTCAACATCGAAGACTTCCAACACCTTGATGGTCTTGAACTAGCTGATGAGTTCGAACACGATAGAAATGAATCAATAGATGTTCTTATTGGTTCCGACTATTATTGGCAAATAGTTATTGGAGAAATGCAGAAGGAAGAATCTGGTCCAGTAGCTGTAAGTAGCAAACTCGGATGGCTGCTGTCAGGTCCACTTCATGATTCAGCTGCGCCAACCGAAATACAGTCAAACTTGATCATATCCGGACAGAGCGAGACATTCAACTATGGTACCTATGATGAATAACAGAACGTAGTCGACACATTGAAGAAGTTTTGGGAGACCGAGTCAATTGGCATCCATCCATCCGAAGACCCAGTACAGAGTGAAGAGTTCTCTGAGTATGTTTATCGACAAGGAAACCGTTACGAAGTCAGTCTACCTTGGAAGGGTGAACACTTACCCATTCCAAACAACTACGAGTTATCCAGAAACCGACTACGATCGATGCATTTCAAGTTACAAAAGAAACCAGAGCTTCTCAAGGAATATGATCAGATCATAAGGGAATAGCTTTCTTCTGGTGTCATCGAAGAAGTTCCAGAGAAAGATATCGAGAACCTCGAAGCCGACAACAGCCAATCACAAGAACCTCAGCGCAAAGATATACATCTTTCAGAATTATTGGTGGACCATACATGGTGTGTGTGTGTGTGCATGCCCTAAAATTGGGCCGATCAGGTTATTCAGGTAAGAACAGAACATGTGCGCATATTTCATTGTCAAATACGCAAATCAATAAATCTCCAATTTCAACGATTGCACTGATGATTGATAAGGGACCGGTCATTATTTATGGAAGGGAATAAGGGGCCATATATAGAAATAAAAATGACAAGAAGGGGGGGGGGGGCTATTAAATTTTTTCAAGAAAATGACGGGGAAGGGTTGCAATTAAATTTGAAGGAATTTGCTTAATAACCTGGTATGATAAAAATTTCATCACAGCTTGAAAGAGCATCACAAAATTAGTATAAATATTCCGAAGTTTCGTTGCGAAATGTTGTAAAATGCGGATGATATAGCGCTGCGAAGTTTGCCGTTTTTCAGACATTTTGTATTACGCGCGGGAAATTGATACCTTTCTTCAGAATGCGGTATCAATTTCCCGTGCGTAATACAAAATGAATGAAAAACGGCAAATTTCGCATGGCTATATTATCCGAATTTTACAACATTTCGAAACGAAACTTCGGAATATTACTAATTTTGTGATGCTCTTCCCAACTGTGATGAAATCTTTGTCTAGACTTGTCTAGATCAAAAATTTGTTCATTAGGGAATAGGTCCATTTGATAGCATTATACAGGTTGTATTATTCTACAAATATCGGGGGGGGCTTGGAAATTTCTTGTAAACCCCAAATGCTGAAAATGATCCCCATCTTTGGCTTCACTCTTTGATGTGAGTTCTAGCTCCAGTATATATGGAGCTCACTGGCTAGCTACCACTCAATAGGCTGCCACCAGAGATTATAAATAACACTAGAGGGGGCATTGAGGGTGGAATTTGGGAGCACGGTAACGGGGGGGGCGCAAATTGAAATCCCAGATGAACGCCGCATAATTCTTGGGTTATAGACTTGAAACTAAAAAAAATTTAAACAAGAGTCACAAAACTGGGTGTTTAAATTATATGTTTTGCATGTCATTACTACAAACATTCCCCCCAAATTTTGAATTCAAACGATTAATTCCTCTTGAAAAAATCAAAATTGCTGACATCAGCATTATTTTGGAGCGTTCAGCATTCTCAAAAATGTGTTAGAGACAAAACTGAGGTAGAAATCTTGGTTAAAATTCAAAACGGGACTACACAACTGCCATAAACAAGAATTTAAAGATTTTTGTTGAAACTCGCTCCTATTTTAGCATTTTAAATGTTTGCCCCCCCCCCCCAATAGCTGTGTTCCCTTTCTTTGAGGATTATGATGCCCCCTCTAGTGTTATTTACAATCTCTATGATGGGCACTGTATCCTAAATCCTAATGCGCCCTACTTTGGGAAGCGTGCTGCTACTCAATGGGTTGAATTACCTCCGAGTAATTTGACATCAATCGTTCATTCTGCAACAGCTCTCTCAAAGAATATTGAACATAATCAGTAGTTACAGTAAGTGAATCCATGTACAATTTATCGTCCGGTAGACGAGTCTTTTTTATGAATCCCCCACAACTGTATTGATAGAAATCATCACATGGCTTGGTGGATTCATCCAGCTTGTTAAGAATGTCTGGGGAGTAAAACAAACTTTAAATATAATCTGTCTTACACATTTGTCTTCAGTACGTGGTGGATTTATAGGGGCAGGGTCTGAAATTTATTTTTTTTTCAGCACGGGATACCAGGATTCAAAGCTCTAGTATCACATCTGAGAATCCAGTATCCCACTATCAAAGTAAGTACTGTACAATTTAACAACAGGAGACTCAACAGTCAACAACTACTAGAGCACCAGGTTTGAAATCAAGCTTATTTTCAAGAAGACATTTTCACGAATAGTATTCAAACCGTACATCACCACAAGAGACAAGTAGAATTAGCCAATTGTTTGACATTTTGTAATATCTACTGTAGTTGGGATACAAGTCATTCACAGTTTGGTATATCCAAAACCAAATTTTGGTATCCTGTGGATATGGAGATACAGTACATGTACTGCAAATTTCAGACCCTGTACAGTAGGGGGGGTGGACAGGGGTGTGCATCCCAGGGTGGAATGTTTTAACCCTTTAACCGTTAAGCTGCAGAGCTGATCCCCATTGACGAGTAAAATTAGAAAATTAAACGAGACTTACCTGTAAGGTGAAGTTTGATTGAGATTCTACGAGTTATTGGTTAGCAGCGAAGGAGTCACGTGTGAGATAGCGCGGGAAGGATCGAGCGGCAGTCTTTAAAGGGAGTGCGAATGGTCACATTTAGTACCCGCTGTAAAGCCGTAGGGCTGGGTAAAACCGTAGGGTGGGTCCGTGACTCCTTCGCTCCTAACCAATAACTCGTAGAATCTCAATCAAACTTCACCTTACAGGTAAGTCTCGTTTAATTTTCTAATTCTACTTCGTC